TTGATTTGCATTTTAATGAAGGAAATACGTATTTGACCCCTCTGCAAAAAATGACTTAGTACTTGGTGGCAAAACCCTTGTTGGCAATCACAGAGGTTAGACGTTTCTTGTAGTTGGCCACCAGGTTTGCACACATCTCAGGAGGTATTTTTTCCCACTCCTCTTTGCAGATCTTCTCCAAGTCATGAAGGTTTCGAGGCTGACGTTTGGCAACTCGAACCTTCAGCTCCCTCCACAGATTTTTCTATGGGATTAAGGTCTGGAGACTGGCTAGGCCACTCCAGGACCTTAATGTGCTTCTTCTTGAGCCACTCCTTTGTTGCCTTGGCCGTGTGTTTTGGGTCATTGTCATGCTGGAATACCCATTCACGATCCATTTTCAATGCCCTGGCTGAGGGAAGTAGGTTCTCACCCAAGATTTGACGGTACATGGCCCCGTCCATCGTCCCTTTGATGCGGTGAAGTTGTCCTGTCCCCTTAGCAGAAAAACACCCCCAAAGCATAATGTTTCCACCTCCATGTTTGAGGGCGGGGATGGTGTTCTTGGGGTCATAGGCAGCATTCCTCCAAACACGGCGAGTTGAGTTGATGCCAAAGAGCTCCATTTTGGCCTCATCTGACCAGAACACTTTCACTCAGTTGTCCTCTGAATCATTCAGATGTTCATTGGCAAACTTCAGACGGGCATGTGCTTTCTTGAGCAGGGGGACCTTGCGGGCGCTGCAGGATTTCAGTCCTTCACGGCGTAGTGTTACCAATTGTTTTCTTGGTGACTATGGTCCCAGCTGCCTTGAGATCATTGACAAGATCCTCCCGCGAAGTTCTGGGCCGATTCCTCACTTTTCTCATGATCATTGCAACTCCACGAGGTGAGATCTTGCATGGAGCCCCAGGCCGAGGGAGATTGACAGTTCTTTTGTGTTTCTTCCATTTGCGAATAATCGCACCAACTGTTGTCACCTTCTCACCAAGCTGCTTGGCAATGGTCTTGTAGCCCATTCCAGCCTTGTGTAGGTCTACAGTCTTGTCCCTGACATCCTTGGAGAGCTCTTTGGTCTTGGCCATGGTGGAGAGTTTGGAATCTGATTGATTGCTTCTGTGGACAGGCGTCTTTTATACAGGTAACGAGCTGAGATTAGGAGCACACTCTTAAAGGGAGTGCTCCTAATCTCAGCTTGTTACCTGTATAAAAGACACCTGGGAGCCAGACATTTTTCTGATTGAGAGGGGGTCAAATACTTATTTCCCTCATTAAAATGCAAATCAATTTATAACATTTTTGACATGCGTTTTTCTGGATTTTTTTGTTGTTATTCTGTATCTCACTGTTCAAATAAACCTACCATTAAAATTATAGACTGATCATTTCTTTGTCAGTGGGCAAACGTACAAAATCAGCAGGGGATCAAATACTTTTTCCCTCACTGTACATCACTGCTGGCAGGTGCTCCATCCATAAGAGGGGGCTCTAGAGGGTATGTTGTCTGCGCTTCCATGCTGACAAGACATGCTGAAAGAAGTGGGCCTACCCACACTTTACCCTACCGGACACGATCTACCGATTGACTGTTGGGTGGAAAGAGGTGGTGCGGGGGGCGATTTGAGAACCCTTACCTTGCTGTTGCAACTGGCTGCTGTGCCAGAAGATCAAATCCAATTGTTGACCTCTGGATTGCAAAGCTCAGTGTGGCAATATTACACCACTGTGGCAGATCCTGTGTCAATGTACCAAATTAGCATCATTAAACCGGCATTCGCCAATAAGCGGCAGTGACGTCACCACGGCGCTTGTGCCAGCATTCGTTGTTCATACCACTACACAGCATAGCAGAGTGAAGTTTGTCATGTGAATGTCTATTCCTATATTCCTCTCCCTACCTCCCTCAACCCACAGGTACCACAGATTCCTTGGCAGCAGGGGCCAACAGGTTCCGATGCTTTTGGTGGTAACCCGTTTGGCTTGTGAGGGTGGCAAAGCCATCCAGAGATCCCCACCATGAGTCGCCCATCCCCGCCACGAGTCCAGGCGCCTGGTCCACCCCGGCCTGCGGTGGGCCCCAGTGCAATTGCACCGCCTGCACACTCGCTTGTTAGTTATGCACCCGGGCCTAAGTGAGTCTTCCGTTTGGCAAATCGATTTCTCAGATTATAGAATTACAAATTATCAGCAAACTCGAATATTCGTGAAAAGCCGATTAAGATACCTAACACAAAATAATCCTTAGCGTCATATTCTTGGGTCTTTCAGCAAAGTCATGTAGATAGGTTCAAAGAAAATAAAAAATATACAAAAAACTACGATGTTTCGATCGCAACACAGGCGATCGAAACGCCGTAGTTTTTGTTATTTTCTTTGAATCTATCTACATGACTTTACCGAAAGACCCAAGAATATGAATTCCTGCAGTCACGAAAGCTTTAAGTCAAGATTGAATCCTTAACGTTGTCGTGGAAAATAGAATAAAATATAATCAGACACTGTCTCATATCTGCCCCTCCACATAACACATCTCATTGGCCACGGTCTTCTGGAAGTGCATATGGTCAGAATTGGTTCAACACAAGCAAAACTCAAGACTGGTTTCTACATCAGCAGTCATGCTTGCTTAAACCAATGCTGGTGAAAGTTGGTTTGGTGATGTGATAATCACCGGATTAGTCTAAACACCACTTAAGGTGGATTACAATTCCAACGCCAATGCCTGAATGTTAGGAATGTAGACACTTTTAAGATTCGTAGCTACCCAGCGCAATTAACGAAGCCAATTAGTGTTATGTTTGGCGATCGCGTACCGTATAGTTTTGTGGACGTGTTGCTTAAACGATGATTGAAATGTATGGATTTAATTGTCAAACAATATTTGCACACATTTTATTTATGTGCAATGTCAAAAAAATTGTGCATAAAACGTGAATTTTACTTTTCTCACCGTGTCCTCAGGTTGTTGCGTGTGTACGTGTCACCTTAATATTGACCAATCAGGATCAAGCATTCACCAGTATTCCAATCACAAGCAGGCAGTCGATATCGGCTACCAATCATCGCAATGAGCCAGGAGGCAAATGTAAACACTGTAACGCTGACTTGGCTAACTCTTTGATCAGTCCCTTATAGCAACCCGACTTTATACTAATCTTTGTTCATATTGGATCCTCTTTCGGAGTTATTGTGACCCCACATTGCACAGAATGAACGCATCAAAACTTTCAACCTAAGTTGCAAAGCTGATCATTAATTACATGTACTTTTTTTATACAACCTAGGTTTATAGGAACTATGGCATATTTTCAATATACGTTGTTTTGTAATGTTTTGTTTTGCAAATGTTTGAATGCCAAATATTAGGTAACAGAAAACATTGTTGATAATCAATTTTCATAATTATATATATAACAAAAATATGCCATGAACACTAGTTTTTGCCTCCAAAAACACCACGCCAAAAATTCATTTATGCCGACAATTTTTCGTTGGGGGCGCTGGGAGTGACAAAGAAACAGAGAGCCCCACCGCTGATTTAGAAGATGGAACAAAATTTCCAAACACTGGTGCCTCAAACCTAACCTTGTGAAAATTGTGGTGTAATTGTTCCATTTTGCCAACTCGGAAGCTAACAGGATGATGAACGTGCATTTCTAAGATCACTCCCGACACAAACCCAGGATATATTGGTTTGACGTTGGACAGAGGCCTCACTTATTCTCAAAGAAATGAAGACGAACACCATGTCCAAAATTAATATCCAAAAGCTAACAGGTACAGACTTCTCTCGCTTTATGCGGGTTCGATTTATGCAATATTGCAATGTATAAACAGCTAGCATATTTATACTCAAAATTTGCTGTACGGTATGTGTTTGGAGTAGTGCATAGTAGTGCATACAGTACAAAGTACTGTGCTGCATACAGTACAATGTACTGTATGCAGCACTATGCACTACTACAGTACAATGTACTGTATGCACTACTCGACAGGCAGCTGTCTCGTGCGATCTCGATTTATGCGCCCGTTTTTCTTCACGCATCTATCGCATGAAGCGAGGGAAACCTGTACTGGGCTGAGGTTGCGATGCAAAGACCCTGCAAACAGCATCCCTGGGCCCGTGTATGTTGAACTTCTTTTGCACCGTACGTAACCAGCCGTGCTAACCGGAAGTGTGAAACACGAGTGCCTTGTGAACAAAGTCTTCCTACAGTCCGACAAGAGAACAAATGCCACATCGCGAGAATACAAAACGACCCTCAAACACGACGCTACCCATCCACGAAGATCTCGACCACATGCCAACGGTTTTGGACAGCAGCAGAGGACCTGGAATCCAAAATCACTCGCGAAGAAAAGTGACGGCATCAATACGGCAGCACATGTCTAAAAAATTAGCCGAATAAAAGATCCTACGGCCGAACATACTTGCTCAGCACTGTCTGAGCGGCAGATTCATTATAAACCACATCAGGACTTCTTCCCAGGGGCAATGTGGATATCTGATGCACCAGTTGTGATTCAGAAATTCTGCACAGCAACTGTGGCAAACAATAGAACACATTGTGAGCAATGTGTTCCATATCAAAATGAATCTACCCTTGCAAATGTTGCCATTTCCATACAACATTTATTTAGTAGAGTATATCGCTTGTGTTGTTTATTTTTTTCCCAAAAAGAGTATAATTAATTCTGGTCGGAACTTAAAGGTTTTGTAAATGTTTGTGAAGACACAAGTACCCGAAGGCCAAGGCCCACTCCCATACTTCATCAGCCCATCTCTCTAGCCCGTGCTGGACCCGTTTAGCCCCCTCTATCTACCCAAACAGAACCTGCTGTTGTTGCATGTGAAACAAAATATCCCCCGTATACCGGTAGTGTTGGGGACACAGGATTTGATCAGATATTCGTCACTGATGAGTCAATTGAACTTTCATCACCAGGTTCAAAGCAGAGTACACTTACCATTGCGCCACAACTACCCATGCACAAACACCCAGCAATAACAAAAGCACAATACAGTCTCGAGAAGTTTAATAATACACATTGGTTGCTACACCCTACACTTAGGGTAGAAGGGAGGTGGACGGTGTAAATAGCCCCCCCCCCCCCCCACTTTTTTCTTCCCGCCAAAGTAATAGAACATTCAGCCCCCACCAGACTCATTCACATTGCACAAAAATTGGGCTCAACGCGTCCAGATGATCAACGAGGACAATTCGACAATGAACATTCCGGTCGATCGACGTTAAACATGGAACAATCTCGCAATCGCTATTCCGATGGTGACAATATAAAAATACTAATATTGTGCACAGTCCCGCCCTTTGTGGTGGTTACTTTTAAATGTTATAAATGGGATAAGAAATACTTGCATATGGGTACTGTACGTGGGTATAAAAATATAACCATGTTCGGCGTGACGCACAATCTCGCGGCGACGTCCAGACGCGTATTCCCACGTGAGCACAGGGCCCCACGTGATCATCGCCAGACAATACCGTCGTGGTCGTAACGTTTCGGATTTTAAACGAAAATTGATTTTTTAAAAGCTTCTCGCAAACATGATTAGCATATCCCAACAATACATGCCAAACGTCACGTTCCCACTGAATGCTGCACACACGTTTTTGTAAAAACCATTCGCAAATATAATTGTCAAAATCTCACTCCGCCTTCAGGTGCACTTGAAAACTAGATAGTGTACATGCATGTTACATATATTAGTGTACTTTAAAACATCAACGGTAATGACGACTGTGGTAGTGCTGAGCGTATTGTGTACTGCTGCTTTAGTCATGCTTGGTACTTTATCGTTCTTATTGCTGTGGTCAATGCGATGGTTGTGGTCGCTGTCTCTACAAAGTCCTGTGTTGCAGGTGAAGCGATCTTGACAGCAGTGCTCAGATACTCAGTTTTGCTTTAGTACCAAGTTTAAACGATTAATTGAACTAATTGTTTGTCGACATTGCTTAATATATCACAATAGAATCTGGCCAAGTGGTAGTGAGCAGATCGCAATTTGAAGTTGAGTCCAAATGTTGGTTGGGGGGTTGATAGCCCATGAACCCACCCCACCATGGTTGATAAAATGAGCATCACTCTGTGGGGAATTAAAGTGGTTGTTGTGTAGACTTACCCCGCCATAAAAATGTGGAATTTCCATTGCTGGTTCATGGGTGTGATCGGGGGATGAGCACTACCACAATAAAGCAGGCACATATTTTCACTTTTGAATAAAACAATGTGTTCTACCGTCGTGTTACTGAACAGTTCTGCACCTATTCATGAACCATTTCCATTGGCGCGTTATTTAAAAGGGTCGATGTGTCGCGTCGTTTGTGAATCAGGTTCTTTGGGCCTGGTTAGCTTCTACGTTAGACCTACGAACACCGGCCACAAACTTCTACACTTAATTAGCTTTCTTTTGCATAGAATACTCCGCTCGTTAAAAAAGTTATACTTTAATCCCAAACCCACGTTATATATCGCCATATTTGACCCATTTCAACTTTACAAACTGTAAATGTGTGTAAACGCGGACGGCCCTTGTGTCAATCCACTGATGAAAGAGTGCCTTACCACGCTGTGCGGGGCATGGGGGTTGTTTAACCATACTTCACCGTGCAAGTCATTGTGGGTTGGTGTAGGTGGGGAGCATTGATAGTAAAGAACATTGATTAGTGTCTCTACTTATCCTAAGTACTCCTACTAGCTGTTTCTGCACGTATGAGCTATGCATATACAAACGTGGCTTTGCATTCACCTCCTCGAGTATTGTCACTCTAAATAGATGCTCACTAATGGCACTATCCTATAATTTATACAACAGAGCAGGGATTATTCAGCCATGCTAGTGTGTAATGTGTGTACCTATGTGCGGGTATTTGTATGTATATACATTATAGCTATGTGCTAGAGTATGTACGCGTGTGTGTATATATATACGGAGTATAGATTAGGCACATAGCGATTCACCAATTAAAATCCATTCTCAAGTTCATGAGAATTCATTATAAAAATACGATGCAAATTATCTGTTAATTTTTCATACAGGTTAATGAAATGAGACAAAACAAGAAACAATACAAACGAGATGGTACAAACGAGACAAACAATAATCTATTCTTAAATCAAACCTCAACCCTGCATTCAATACCCGGGGGGGAATATTTATATGCCTGACCTACATGTGTGTATGTGCTAGGGTTGTCAAACAGTAACCGGTAAACTGGGAACCGTTATCGGAATCGGTAACTGGTTACGAATATCAGAACCCGTAATACATTTCAGTGGAATTTTTGTAATCTACTGATTGGCACATGTGACGGACCTAAGGAGAGGACGGCGGATATATGGAAAGGACGCCTAATGTCACCTTAAGAGGTAAAGGTGCAGCCCTGCAAGTATCCGCTAACGCCATTGCTGGCAGAAGGGCCTCCACTTGAAGTATGTTCTACTATGCCTCACTGACCAGACATACTGGAAAAGGTGGACGTACCCACACTTTACCCCACCACACAAAACCTGCCGATCGACTGTAGTGCACTCATGTACACTGGTGGGTGGACAGAATACATTGTGGGGGGGGGGGGGGTGTTGTTTCAACTGCCGTGCCACGAGATGGAATTTAACTGGCGATCTTTGCATTGCAAGTCCAGTGTGCTGACTGCTACACCATCCCTGTGGAAGCTGCCTTCATTTCTCAATTAACCCTTTCCCATTCTAATGACGTAGGTGTAAGTAATCAGTTTTGCTTCCGTGACATACACGTATAATAAAATAATTTTGTCATATCGAGGCTCCCACAAGATCATGTGGGAGAAGGTGTGGCAGAGTTTGGCGTTAGCTATATTACAGTGAGGTCATGTCACTACAGTTCTCTCTGCGGAGAGCACAATGACTTTAAAAACAACGGTGCTATGCCTCTTTAAATAAAATGAACGTTGAACCACTTGCATGTTCCGAGATTTAGCGGTGAACAGGACCCACCCTGCAACTTGCAGACATCTCAGAATGGGAAAGGGTTAAAAAACTAAACACATTTGTGTCCTTAACTCTAGACATTTCTGTGCCGCAAACCGGTAACCATTTTATTTCATGCGATTACCTGTAAAGTAAAAAAATATCTTAACAACCCTAGTACGTACATAGATACATATACGTACGTACACACTGGGACATATGTACTATACATCGATACGTACCGTACACATACATCAAAGAGGTGTGTATGCAAGCACACGTGTACAGATGCAAGTATAAACACGTATGTACATATACAAAGCTTTGTATTGTCCACAGATATGTATCATATACACACATTGGGTATGTGTACACGCATGGGTACACACACACACGTGTACGAGAGTTGCTGGCGGAGTATGCGATGAAGTCACTTCGCATGCACCCCAGGCCCAACTGTAGCCCCTTCCACCGCAAAGCATCTTGGGAGTTCAGGGGTCGTTAGTACTGGCTCCGTGATGCCTGTAGAGACTGGAGGGGGGGGGGGCAGGGGGAAATTGGGAAACATAACATCCATTAATAATAGGGTTTTTCCCATTTTTTTATGGCAACAAAACTGAAACTTTTTGCAAGGGATCATGTTAACATTAACCACAATTCTTGCAGTCAGAATGCACACAAAAACAACTCTGATATTTCAATTTATTACTATTACTGCTAATCCTACATAATACACTAGCATAATATGACTTTGAGACCCCCCACCGCCTACACATTCCACAAGGAGTGACTAATCCCATATCTGCATTTGTCACCAATATGCTAAATTCCTCTGTTGATATGTAAACTCCTCCCACCCAGCTTAAATACGCTGCCAAGCTTAGTAGTGTTTATTAGGACACTGTCCTTTCCGACAGCTCTGTTTCTTCACCTGAGGACGGCTGCTTGTGTTGTGGCCAAAACGTCGTGAGAATTTTATTTTATGTTTTATTTTATTATTTCCCTTCTACGTGACTTTACCGAAAGAACCAAGAATAACACTCTGATAATGTATGCATTGTCCTTGAAACTGATTGGTCCACACCAGAGACAACTTTCCTTAGAGCCTAGTCTCATACGGCGTTCGACCAGATAACGCCAAAAGACAATGCACTGTCAGAGTAATGAGGGCTTGGGTAAGCATCTACATCATGAGGCCTCCTTTGCCAGTACCAAAACATAATAGGGTTTTTCCCCTTCTTTTGTGAACGCAAACTCTGGTGACACTAAAGAGATTTTATAAAGACAACGAGAAGCTTTGCTGTCGGAACAATATTAATAACCGGTCAGGTGGCTCAGCGGTAGAGTGGGCAGCTCGCAATCACAAAGCTGCGAGTTCAAATCGTTAGGGGTCAATAAAATGAGTTGCATGGCATGGGTAAGTTGACAGCAGTTGTCCTATGGAGGGACTCGCCAACGTCATAGTAATGTGGAATTGCCACCGCCGGCTCAGAGCTGTAAACAGGAGAGGAGCATCGCCTCAACATTCATTTTAGGAAATATTTTTGACTATTCGAATTGACACCAAATATGCCAGGAAAGCCTCACCGAGTCTCAAAACTCTTTCTCAGGAGGGTCCTGGTACAATGGGACGTTTGGTTAATTCTATTAGTGATGAGAGTTTGGCTTCACGTGAGAGGAAACTGGAGAAACCGGAGAAAAGCAGCATTACACTGAGAGTGTGACACTCAGCACTGCTACCTCCTGGCCACACAGCTACAACACCTGGCCAGTACTGGCGGCTTACTCATCCAAGTACTAACAAGGTCCAACACAGCTTAGCTTTCCAGATCCAGCGAGACTGGGCACCATTCCGGGTGATTTGGTCACACACAATCAGAATCTTTATTTATCCTGGAGAAATAAAGGGGAGGGTGTGAGTAGGGTATGGGGGATGCAGCAATAGTGTGTCAGAGCAAAGAGAACAGAGAGAAGGGAGAGAGAACCAAGAAGAGGATGGATACCGGCGCATGGCTGACCGGGGGCAGCTGCCTCCCACATCGCTCCCTCCTCCGTTGCCGGCCTCTGCTGCGTCAGCCGACACGCCAGGTGGGTCGGGGGTCGGGTGGTGGGGGGAGAATTGTAGTGGAGGACGGCATGGGGTGCAGTTAAGGGAGTGGGGGAGCAGAAGAGAAGAGACGGCATGGCGGCAGAGTCAAGAGAAAAGCGTGAAGGAGGTAACGGGAGAGAGGCCGTCGAGTAGCATGAGCCCTTGCAAAGTTGTGGGATTAGTATTGGCACTGTAACTGGGTGCATATGCACAACAATACACACACACCACATATACAGCTTGATACACGCGTACAACTGCACACACATACTAAAACACACACATATCTATACAAAGATCCCCCATATAACCTTTAACAGACCTTTGAAAGTGCTGTTAGCAAAAACCTTTTGAGGGCGGCACAGCATCAAGGAGTGGGTGGCCAGCACCATACCTGGCCACCTTTGTCTCACAAGTGCTGATGTTTACACACTGCACCAGGTACTCATTTAAGGTTGAGTCGACACATACATACAAAAGACCACAAACAGAGTTACACACATATGCATGCCTTTATCACTCACTGCACACATGCAAACACCATGGTGCACAAAGGTTTGCACACATACCTCACTTCACAGAGGTTCATAAAACATACACCTGCAGGCACATTTATACACAAATACCATCGGCCGCACACACACATACGAGAACCTGTGTAGGTACTGTGGTTATGGGATTGGGAGAGGATGGGGGGTTGAGAGGGTTCACCAGGTTTTTGTGAAAATAACAAATGATGGAAGTAACAAGCATCCAGCCTTATAGCCTATAATACCTGTTACTACAGATGGTCGTTGGTCACCCAAGCACTCACTACCAAGGATCCACCTTGCTTGCCTCCAAATTCTGATGGGCGACATTGTGGACAGCAGAGTGCAATGATGCCATAGCTATTATTGTATGCTCGCTCCCCACCTTCACTGACCAACTGACCAATTGACCTCACCTTCTAGGAGACTCAGTGCTATGGCCAGTTTTGGGATGGGGTTTTCCCACCGGTCTGACCAGCGGGCTGAACGTCTGGTGGGTTAACAGGCTGGAATGCTAATGAGCCAACGAGTAGGCCGGCCAGACTCTCTCCGCCGACTTACTGAAGAGTAGCGGCCGAGCTGTCGAGGGGCAAGTGCCACAGCCCCCGGTGCATTATGGGTGGTGTCAGCAGCACCCGAGATTCTCCCACGGGTGTCGGGCGAGAAGACGACGCAGCCGCCGCCAAATCCACCAACGCCGCCAATTCCCCAGTCATCACGATCCGTGGAGCTAAACTGATTGGCCGAGCAGCGCAGCGTCGACGCGTGATTGGCCGAGGCTCTTGACGAATTGGAAACCGTGATGGTGACATCGCGATCGTTGGAAAGGTTCCCAAGGGAACCGCTCAGTCGCGGGTTGAGTACAAAACTTGGCGGGAGCCAGGAGGTTGAGAGGGAAGTGTGGGGAGGGAGGGATGAGAGGGGAGACACAATGAATGAATGTTCATGCAGTGAAATTATGTTACAAAGTAAATGACCGCGTGTTTGTTCATGCAGATGTTGTAAAATAAATGCAGCTGCTGATGATGATGGAAACAGTCATTGGGTTAAAAACAGAATCAAGGGCGAATTAAATGAAGCGTATGTAGTTTTCTACACGCACATACAGGCACACATACACGCGCATATCCACATTCATAAAACATGCAGACGTATAGACAAACACATGCACAAAAACAATTAAACACAGGCATGCATTAACACATGTACCAACACAATAACACACACCATCATGTCTCATCACGCATAAATACTGCCATCACATATATCTCACCAACATGCACTCACATCACCCACTAACACAAGAGCGCGCACACACACAACAGACACACCGGCACCTCTACATTCATTAATATGCCTTCAACACAAAAACTGCATACATAATTTTCTGTAACAATTGCCCTAGCCCAACAGCTCACACACACACTAACATCACTAAACACACACACTGACTCACACCGGCGCACACACGAATATACTACCAATGAATACAATCATCAGGCAATCATCAGGCACCATCATGCAAGCGCTACCTCTTGAGGGCGGGGTGGCCCCCTCCCCCGGTGGAGTGCCGGGTGACACGGGCACTGCTCTGGACGCCCAACGATGCTGGAGACTTTGCCGATTTCACCGGAGACGACGGCGACAGTGATGATGATGATGTGGAAGCGGCGGCAGCACCCTGCACCGTCGCCGTCCTGCGGGGGATGCAGGCGCGGCGCATGTGTTGAGCGGATGTACACGTATCCACCCGCAAGCACGTCCACTACCACACATAACCACCACACACTTAATTGGATAAAGCTATGAAGCAGCAATTGTCATCTCGACTGTGAAAATTTAGCAAGAGTCTGCTGAAAAATAGTCTTGAGACTCATTTAGGCTTTGAATGGTAAGCAAGTGAAATATTATTTTAATAATTAATCAGATGTGAGTGAATGCATGTGTGTGTATGTGGGTCTATGTGTCTGAGGATCAATAGTGCATGTGATAGTCATCTCTGTCAGTCAACCCATGGCACCTGGGTCTGTCCCGAGACCTGCCAGCGAGCCTTCGACACTTCACGTGGTACATCGCCTGCTCCAAGCGCCGTGGTGATGTCACGACCACTTAGTGGTGAATGGCAGTTGATGTTGTTATTGGGGACCGGTAGTGTAGCGGTTAGCGCGCTGCGCTACAAACCCGGCGACCTGAGTTCTATTCCCGCTCACGGCCAACACCGGTGACAATTATCTGAATCGGTCCTGGACCTCCCCTAGGTCGACGCAGCCTCAAGCGAGTACCTAGTGCAGTGTGTAAACAACAGGACTGGGGAGATGGAGGTGGCCGGGCATGATGCTGGCCACCCACCCCCTTGCCGGCCTTCATAGGTGCTACTCGCTAACAGCACCTGCTTTTACAGTCTGTTAAGGCTATATGGGGAATCGTTGTCATTATTTGCCTGCAAATACATCATAAGGGCATTTTCTTTTAAACACAGTTGCTGAGCACATACCCAAAGGCCCAAATAGAAAAACGGCCAGCAAAAGAGCATTATTAAAGTAATATTCACTCAGTTACTCGATTTGTTTAATGCATCACACCGACACATACATTGATGGACAGATATACAGACTTACAGATTAATAGAGAAACACACACAAATTGACAGACAGAGATGGTTGTGTGAATGTGAAACGGACCTCAGCTGTTGGGAAGAGGAGCGCGTGTTCATGCGTGTCTCTCCCTGCCTGGAGCGCAACGACACAGAAGCCACCCATCACGCACACATGCGTGGGTGTGTGAGCCTGACCGTGCCCACGTGTAATGCGTGAGTGAATGCATGCGTGTCGTTGGCACAGTAGGGAGCACAGGTGGTACATCTGCCAGTCACCTCAGTCAGTTTACCCCATAACACTGGGTCTCTCCCGTGACTTCCTGCCAGCAAGCCTTCTACACTTCACGTGGCCTCAGTGCACCTCGCCTGGCACAAGCGCTGTGGTGACATCACCACCACTTTGTGGTGAATGCCGGATGTTGTTGTTGCATGCATGCATGCATGTATGCACATGTGGTGATGTTACCGAGCGATAGGTCTTATTTGTGCATCACTGCCAATGGTTAATATGCAACTCAGCCACCCGACAAATGGCCTCCTCCCACCTCAAGTTTCCGCTGGTGAGCAAGGCTTGCCGAGTGCCGTGTGGTGACGGCCCGCTGCTTGCTGCTGCCACTGCCAGCGCTGCTGCTGCTGCTGGTGGCGGTGGGGCCGGTGGTGGCGGCATGCCGAGTGTGTCGCCGGTTTTTAAGAGCGCGAAGTTTGTCTCCCTGTGTGGGGCCACTACGGCCCATGCCCTCCACCTGCTCCTCATACTGCACAGGTACACACATGCACACACGTGCACACATAAAACCAAAGATTCCCTGTGTAGCCTTATAGAGACTGTTGGGGCAAGTTCTGTTAACAAGAACCGATTAAGGCAAACACCTATTAAGACCAAAACGGCACAAGGGTTTTGTAGCTAGCATTATTGTCTCACCATGCTCGAAACTCATTTAAAGCTGTCAAGTTTATTTGTTTAACTAGGCAAGCACTCAAGAGACCAGGATAATCTAATTTGTCAAAGAGCTGACCTCGGGGAGGCCCAGGACCGGTTCAGATATTCGTCACGGATGTTGACCATGAGCAGTAATCTAACTCCGGGCATGGGGGGTTCGTAGCGTATTGTGCTAATAACTGCGCCACCACTTCCCATGGACCTGATGTATACACATATACCCATCTACAGACACACAAACGGAGACACACAAGCACGCACACACACATCTCATTAGTTCCCCATGACCCCTGACCCCAACGTTTGTGAGACTCACGTCTTCGATCTGCGTGGCGTGCAGTGATGGCGATGATGACGAGGGGGAGATGGGGCCGAGCGGGTCGCGCAGACTGATGTCATCGACACGCGCCAGGATCCGCGACACGCCCAGTGCCGTACCATCGCGCCCCGTGGGGCCCGAGCCCACACGCTGCTGCTTGGCACGGAACGCCTCCCCCTGAGCCCATAGGCCGGATTGCCTCCTGCCGAGGGGGGCAAACGGGGAGCAGGCAGTGGAGCAGATTGGGTGAAGGTGTTGTCATGTTACATGAGTCTGTCCCGTCACCGCCTGCCAGCAAGCCAACACCACTTCACGTGGCCTCGGAGTGCACCTGGCCTGGCACAAACGCCGTAGTGACGTCACCGCCACTTAGTGGCGAATGGCGGCTGTTGTTGTTGTATCGGTGTGGGTCTCACTCGAGCAGAAAGTGCTGCTGGGGCCCGATGATGGAGCCCGGCCGACATATGCGGATCCAAGCAACGGCCTCGGCAGCGGTGAGGCGGTGGTGCTTCATGAGGTAGCACGCGATGAGCGTGCCTGTGCGGCCCAGCCCCGCTGCACACACACAGTGCCACCATCACCACACGACAACGTTTTCACTATTGACACATCCACTATCTCCCCATTGCCAGCAGCATCGCCCTCCACCACGACTATCATAAATACACCAAGCGCCACCACAATGACCAGCGCTCACATTACTACTACCGTCACCACTATAACCACCACTCACACCACCGCGACGCACCCTTGCAGTGCACGGCGACGGCGCCCCGTGTGCCCTCGCAGATTTCACAGAACTTGCGCACGATATCGGGACTCGGGGAGCTGCCGTCCGGGAAGAACAGGTCGTGGTGCGCCAGCCCCGCGTCCGTGAAGCGCCGCGCGTCGTAGATCTACCTCGGCACCCGGCAACACATATGATCATCATCATCATTATCGCTCAGCCATTATGTTACCACAGTGGCGAGATGTTAACTACCTTGAGTGGTATATAGTTCGTTAGTTTGATCCCGACCATGACAACTGTATATTTGGAGTTTGCATGTCTCTCTCCCCGTGGTCACGTAGATTTTTCTCCGGGTCCTCTGGTGTTTCCTTCCACATTTAGAAACACGCGTTTTAAGAGTATTTGGCTGATATATATTTCCACATAAGCCACTTCTTTGAGTGATCGTTTGTAGCCAGATCGCTTCTGAAAATTAGCTATATAGCTCAGTGGGCTTTACCTTGTATTTTATATTCTTTTATAGTTTTTATCAGCCCATGCCGGACAAACAGTTAGTGCACCGACACTTTCAACCCTCATCTAGTTTTAAAGCGTTACAAACAGAACGGGTGATGGGTGACGGCTTTCCAGCGGCCGAGGCAAGAAGTGCCTGACTCGGTCCATGTTGCTGACGGTGTGTTCGCTCGCACCTTCTTGTTGAGCCGGATGACGGTGGTGACGCCGTTCTTACGGAAGTACGGGATGTAGGACTCTGGGGAATGTAGCGGGTAGCCTGCATGTGCACATAAAATACATATCCCCCCGTGTAGACTTTTAATAGACTGATGGGGGAAGTGCTGTTAGCGAGCACCTATGAAGGCCGACATGGCACATGAAGTGATAGGTGGCCAGCATCATGCCTGATTGCCTTTCTTTCCCCAGTGCTGATGTTTACACACTGTTCTAGGTACTCATTATAGGCTGAGTCGACTATAACCATTTCAGATAATCATTACTGTTATTGGTCCTGAGTGGGAACCGATCTTGGGAAGCAGGGTTTGCAGCGCAGTTCGATAACCACTACACTACCACTCCCCATTTGTGCATGCAAGCGCGTGTTTATGTGTGTGCATCATCACCGTTTTCCACTTTGCTTTTTGGGTGGGGACCGCTGAATGCCAGGAACCGCTCGGGTACGATCCAGTTAAAATCTCCATTCTCAACGTGCTGATCACACACAAAAACAATAGTAGCTGTCATTCACTGTTAAGGATGAGAAGAGGGGAGGGGAGGGAGGGGAGGTGGCCCACCTCGTAATGCTCATACTCTTCTAAGTCAAAACGCGTACAGTCCAGGAAGCCAGTCTGCAGTGCCTGCAAACGAACAGAAGCAGCAACAACACAAGAGCTTAGACACACACAGACACACAACACAATATTGTCGACATATAACAATAATAATCCCTTTAACAAGAATAAAGACGAAAGAAAGGATGAAGAAGAGAAGGCGATACAGAAGACAGGTGGAATAGTGGCTACCCCACTTATCTTAACCAATCTTTTATATATATAAAAGTAAAAAATTGTGTGGGTTTGTGGATGTGTGTGGGTTTGTGTGTGGAGTTTAAGTTAAGAAAAAATAGCCAGGTACCACGCCGGAAGCCCCGCGGTGAGCAAGCGCTATTCCTTTTTCACATCCTTTAACTTTAAATTAGTTTAATTAGTGATTTAGTGCGATTTTTGTGAGCTTCCCTTTAATGTATTTATTTATGACGCGTGCACGACCATACCAACTCATGTGCCTTTGGTGGGGGGGACGGCCCATGCCAAGTAGCACGCCTTCGGTGCGAGTGAGGGGAACATTTTCCTTCGCGTTAAAAATGCTATAAAAATACACTAAACGCTCAGGTAAATTCTTCACTGTGTGATGTCCCCCCCACCCCGATGCGTGCAGTTATTACTACTATACAGTCGCTAAATGCTACCACTATAGGCCGTATATATTGCTGCAGAGCGGCCAAGGATATTGTAGCTGGGGTGGGGGGGTCCAGGTCAGGGGTAGCAGCCCAGCCCCAGCCTGCCAAGGTGCCACCTCAGCCGCCTGGACAATCTAGGCGAGGCCAGAGGTTCTGCATGGGACTAGGCCTCACCACGCCACTCTGTCAGGTGAGTACTTTGTGCTATACAATCGATAAATACTGCTATAGAGTCAGCATGTACTACTGTAGTGAAAGCAGGTACCACCACAGTCCGTATGCACTGCTGTAATCATAGCAGGTACCACCACTGTCAGTATGCACTGCTGTAATCATAGCAGGTACCACCAGTCGGTATGCACTGCTGTAATCATAGCGCGTACCACCACAGTATGCACTGCTGCAGTGAAAGCAGGTACCACCACAAAATGTACTGCTGTAATCATAGCAGGTACCACCACAGTATGCACTGCTGTAATCATAGCAGGTACCACCACAGTCAGTACGCACTGCTGTTACATTGACCCGGGCAACGCCGGGTACTTCCCGCTAGTTACTAATATAATGAGCCCAGAATGTGTCCCGCGCGTGACGTCAACACATGAGGCCCAACCCCCTCATTAATATTCATAAGTGGGTGGAATTTTACACTAACGCAGAGGAAGGTTGAGCTGAATTAAATAATTGTTTACACAAAGTTGCTTCAAATGACATTTCATTACAGAAATTGACGGTAAAAAAAAGAAATCTACGAAGCAGTGCTACATCCGTACATGATGTCACTGCAAAAGAGGCCCCCCCCTTCATTAATATTAATGCTCGCATGGAAATTTACACTAACGCACAAGAAGGTCGCGCACTCCACCTGCCGCACACCTCCCCTCATTAAGTCATGAGCGGGTGACGTCACTCCACATACCGCACCCCTCCACAATAACCATTATCGGGTGACGTCACTCAACATGGGGCAACCCCCCCCCTCATTAATAATCATGAGCTGAACATTTTTTTATTGAATATTTCAGATTTACAGTAATATACACCCGTCCTTGGATGGGCAAAAAAGCTAGTATATAATAGAGAGTGTCCTTGCCTGTGTAGTGACATCGGGGATGTCAATGTATGGTGCCGGCCCGAGAGGGCCGTGGCGCGCGATGCACTGTCATCCCGTACACCCCGTAGGCGGGTGTAGTACCAGCCCTAGCGGGGCTTGGTGTGCGCTGGGATAGCGTGGGCACCACGTATAGCGTGTAATGCGGGCTCCCACAAGGGGAGTAGAAGGGTTGCCCAGGGCCATGGCACTCTGGTTGACCCCGTAGACACATGATCCAGAGTGTCCACAGAGGGGGCCCCAGGTGGGGGGGGCTAGGGGGCGATCACGTGTCTGGGGAGAGCTCTCGAGAGGGAGCTAGAAGGCTCGAGAAGGTGGGCGGGGCCAAGGCGGAGTGGTCCTGACCCAGGAGGATATAAGGCGGGTCCCTGAGAGGGACCGGGGTCGCTGCATTCTACAAGCTGGAAGCTCTACAGGTATCAACATGTGGCTGGGGACCCGAGTGAGGGTCAGACCCTTCATAGCTGTAACTCTTCCATATAGGGTAGTTAGCTGGGTGGCCACCACCCTAGGCTGTTTCTGGTGAAGGGGCAGTTACCCTTTTGTGTTACGTGTTGATGTTACAATAACTGTGTTGCCTCTAAAGAACGTCTGCGATTCAGTTGGACTCACTACACCTGTAAACATCTGGCAGTTTTATCACCATTAGTTGACTCTGCTGATGAGAAACTTCATGTGAAACCTGTCCAGAGTTTTGTTTGTGTTGAACCAGTGCTGCTGGTAAAATGCTCTCAGAAGTCCATGTGGCTGATGGAATGTGTAAAAATGTATTTGTGTATATGGAGGGGCAGATATGTTAATCAGGTGGTGTATTGTATGCCTATTTGTTTCGTCTTCACCTAGGTCACCCTTTCAAAAGCAGCAATTATGTTTCATGTATCCCAATGGCAATATTTCATCTCCAGGTTATATAACGGATACTGGCAGACTGATCTACCGGTTGCACAATGGTAACACTTGTGCCTCACAGTGAGAAGGGCCTGGGTTTGTTTCTTGACTCTTTCTGTGGTGTTTGTTTTCCCGCTGGTTCTGCATGAGTTCTCTCAAGTATCCTTCCATAGCTAAAAATATACAATGTCATCAACGTTGGCCAAACATCCCAATGTAGCAGGACCCTCCTGAAAAATAGCCACCTGTGATGGTGGGGTTAAATGTAGGTAGGCCCACCTCTTCTAAGACATTTGGTCATCGTGGAAGAGTTGACCAAAATACCCTCTACAGTTCACTCTAGTGGAGGCCATTCTGCCAGAAGTGGCATAAGCAATCCATTGCAGGCTGTGTCTTTACCTTGCTGACCCCCTGCAGACAGTCAACGAGGGTCAGGTTGAAGCTGCACGGTCCGAATGAAGCATCTCTGGTGGGGGGGGGAGTAGCAAGGTTGAGTGAAACAAAGACAGATAAAACATACACACAAGATGTACACAGATGGAGACTTAGAGATACACATGCAGATAAACCTAGACAGACACAGCTACACACATATACAGCTAAGCACACAGATACAGAGATGCACACAATTACAAAGATCCCTCGTATAGCTTTTAACAGACTGTTGGGGCAAGTCCTCACACAAGAGGCATTTCCTGATACACACACCACACAAACACACAGATAACTACAGATACACAGAGATAACCACAACTATACAGATACTCTTTGGTTCAATTCGGTAAAGTCAGGTAGGTAAAAAAGTAAAATAACAAAAAATCACGACGTTTCGGCCACAACACAAGTGGCCTTCATCAGGTGAAGGGACCGGACTGTCCAGAGGACAGCGCTGGAGTGAACACAGCCAAGCCCAGACCGCGTTCTTCAAGCTGTGTGGGAGGAAACAGAGTGCCTTGACAAAGGAGTTAGCATAAAAATTAGCATGTAATTGGGGGATTAGCATGATGCACGACGACGTAGAGGGAACATGTTCAGACCGGCGAGAGGTGGAGGGAGGAGAGGAGTTTACATGTTGGTGTGAAGAGAAAATAAGCAGCTGCGAAAGTCTGGGATACCACTACTTGAAAAAAAGATATACTGTACCATTGAAAATTAGTTTAATGTTTGGTTTGATTTAGAACATCTTTCCAGTGATTGCTTAATTTGAAACCAGTTTAATGTTTGGTTTGATTTAGAACATCTTTCCAGTGATTGCTTAATTTGAAACCATCCTCTCGGTTGAAATTGTGTCTGTGTTTGTAAATCTGAATTGCCTCGTGGAAAACTCTGATAAAAATCGTTAGGTTTGCAGAGAACCTTGGTATCGGAGAAAACTATATCGTGATCACCCACAGCGTTGTAACAGTGATCAGCTACGGCAGAAGAATTCGTTCTGCCGTGTTTCAAATATGATTTGTGCGCTCGAATTCAGTCAGAGATGTCGTTTCGTCTCCCGATATAGCAGTCACCACAGGTGCAGCTCAATTGTAAACCCCGGGGTACTCTAAGTCAGGAATTACATCCTTTGAGGATGAGATCAGGTCACGGATTTTGTGTACTGTATTGAACTGGACCAGGATCCTGTGTTTGTTTAGAATTTTGGAGATCTTTTTAGTAACGCCTGCTATGTATGGGAGTGTGATGGCTTTGATCGGAGTATCAAGTGGTTGTTTCTGTATAGAGGGAGAAGCAGCTTGGCAGATAAATTTTGATTGAAAGCTTTCGTGACTGCAGTAATTCATATTCTTAGCTCTTTCGGTAAAGTCACGTTGAAGGGAAACAATAAAATAATAAAATATATATAAAACAATAAAAATTCTCACGACGTTTCGACCATAACACAAACGGTCGTCATCAGGTGTGTCGGTTTGCATACATTTATGCATAATTTGTATTTGTTATGGTTGAAACGTCGTGAGAATTTTTATTGTTTTATATATATTATTTTGTTTCCCTTCAACGTGACTTTACCGAAAGAGCTAAGAATATAGCTTGGCGGATGGTACGGTCAGAGTATCCGTTATTCTTGAGGGCCAGATGTACATGTTTTAATTCACTGGCCAGGTGGTGTTGGCACGAAATGCAATGAGCCCTGTGGTATAACGTTTTGATGAGATAATTCTTTTGAGTTGGGTGGTGGTGGGAATCAGGTTTCAAGTAGGAATCTGTGTGGGTGGGTTTCCTGTAGACAGAATGCCCCAATGAGCCATCAGGTCTCCTCTCAAACAGAACATCTAAGAATGGTAGCTTGCCATCTTTCTCCACTTCCATGGTGAATTTGATGGCGGGATGTCTGGAATTGATGTGGTGTAGGAAAAAGTTCAGAGCTGGGAGGCCATGTGGCCAAATGACAAAAGTGTCATCCACATATCTCTTCCACAGGGAAGGTCTGAGGGTGGAAGTCTGGATGGCGTCCGATTCAAATTTCTCCATGAAAACATTGGCTATCACTGGTGACAAGGGGGAACCCATGGGAGTACTCTCATTTTGCTTGTAGAAGGAACCATTCCAAGTAAAGTAAGCATTGGTGAGGCAGTGCCTGACCAGCGTAGGTACCTCGGGGTTTAGCCCATGTTGTACCAAATTTTCAATTATTTCAATGGTATCAGGTACCGGGACCTTGGTGAACAAGGAGACCACATCGAAGCTGACAAGGATATCATCAGGGGACAGTACAATGTCTTTGACCATAGAAACCAATTGGGCTGAGTTAAGTACTGCTGAGGAGGTCTTGCCAGTGAAAGGTAGCAAGGTATCCAACAGAAAACGTGCTAGCTTATAGGTAGGGGAGTTGATCATGGATACAATGGGTTGTAGTGGAGTGCCTTCTTTATGAATCTTTGGAAGACCATAGAATCTAGGGGGTCTTGCAGCAGAAGGTTTTAGGGAGGGACGTTTAGTTGGTTCGATTAGGGAGGCCGAACTTGTGATGATCTTGTTGGTTTTCATAGTTAGGCTATTAGTAGGGTCATTTTAAATTTTTGAGTAACTACAATCATTGAGTAGGTCCTGAATTTTATTGTTGTATGAGTTTTCATCCATAATTACAGTGGCATTGCCCTTGTCGGCTGAGAGGATGACTATATCATGTTTCTCTTTAATTTCGCGGTTCAGAGCGTTCATCTTCGCTGATGTTGCTAACGGGTTTCTTAGCATTCTTAAGAATAGTAGCTATTTCAGCTCTCCCGACGTCTGCTTGGATGTGTCCTATACCTTTGAGGGCTACATCGACCTGAGAAATGATATCATCTATCGGTATATGTTTTGGGGTGACAGCAAAATTCAGTCCTTTAGCCAATACTGTTTTCAGATTGTCCGAAATCGGGGTGCTACTCTGATTGATAACAATTTTGTTAAGGTCTAGTTTTGTGATCTATGGAACCGTTTTTTTCTTGATAGGTGGTGGGTCCTCACCGAATTCTAAACAGATTCTGTTTAAGGCCAGGCCTCTCTTTAATCTCAGAGAGGATACGACTACATCCGTTTGAACTCGATACTTTAGACAGGACTCTCCTACAAGCTCATTTAACGTTAACACAAAAAATGTCACCTGATTTGAACCACGTAGACAACATGACTGCTTCTTCTGCCGATTCACTTTCAATCAAATGCAAAGCTAACCTAATTGCTAAATTCAACCAGCTATCAAAGAAAAACCTGGTTCCACAGATCACAAAACTAGATGTTAACAAAATTGTTATCAATCAGAGTAGCACCCCGATTTCGGACAATCTGAAAACAGAATTGGCTAAAGGACTAAATTTCACTGTCACCCCAAAACATATACCGATAGATGACATCATTTCTCCGGTCGATGTAGCCTTCAAAGGTATAGGACACATTCAAGCAGACGTCACGAGAGCTGAAATAGCTACTATTCTTAAGAATGCTAAGAAACCCGTGAGCAACATCATCAAAGATGAACGCTCTGAACTTGCGAAATTAAGAGAGACATGATATAGTCATCCTCTCAGCCGACAAGGGCAATGCCACTGTAATTATGGATAAAAACTCATACAACAATAAAATTCAGGACCTATTCAATGATGGAAGTTACCCAAAAATTAAAAATGACCCTAGTAATAGCCTAACTATAAAAACCAACAAGATCATTGCAAGTTCAACCTCCCTAATCGAACCAACTAAACGTCCCTCCCTAAAACCTTCTGCTGCAAAACCCCCTAGATTCTATGGTCTTCCCAAGATTCATAAAGAAGGCACTCCACTACGACCCATCGTATCCACGATCAACTCCCCTACCTACAGGCTAGCCCGTTTTCTGTCAGATACTTTGCTGCCTTTCACTGGCAAGGCCACCTCAGCAGTACTTAACTCAGCCCAATTGGTCTCAATGGTCAAAGACGTTGTACTGTCCCCTGACGATATCCTTGTCAGCTTCGATGTGGTCTCTCTGTTCACCAAGGTCCCAGTACCTGATACCATTGAAATAATTGAAAATTTGGTCCAACATGGACTAGCCCCCGATACACCTGTGCTGGTTAGGCACTGCCTCACCAACACCTACTTAACTTGGAATGGCACCTTTTACAAACAAAATGAGGGTACCCCCATGGGTTCCCCCTTATCACCAGTGATAGCCAATGTTTTCATGGAGAAATTTGAATCAGACGCCATCCAGACTTCCACCCTCAGACCTTCCCTGTGGAAGAGATATGTAGACGACACTTACGTCATTTGGCCACATGGCCTCCCAGCTTTGAACCTTTTCCTAGACCACATAAATTCCAGACACCCCGCCATCAAATTCACGATGGAAGTGGAGAAAGATGGCAAGCTGCCATTCTTGGATGTTCTGTTTGAGAGGAGACCTGATGGCTCATTGGGACATTCTGTCTACAGGAAACCCACCCACACAGATTCCTACTTGAAACCTGATTCCCACCACCACCCGACTCAAAAGAATTCTCTCATCAAAACGTTATACCACAGGGCTCATTGCATTTCGGAAAAACACCACCTGGCCAGTGAATTTAAACATGTACATCTGGCCCTCAAGAGGAACGGATACTATGACCGTACCATCCGCCAAGCTGTTTCTCCCTCCATACAGAAACAACCATTTGATACTCCGATCAAAACCATCACACTACCATACATAGCAGGCGTTACTAAAAATATCTCCAAATTCTAAACAAACACAAGATCCTGGTCCGGTTCAATACAGTACACAAAATCCGTTACCTGATCCCATCCGTAAAGGATGTCATTCCTGACTTACAGTACCCTGGGGTTTACAAATTGAGCTGCACCTGTGGTGACTGCTATATCGAGGAGACGAAACGACATATCTCTGACCGAATTCGCGAGCACAAATCAGATTTGAAACACGGCAGAACGAATTCTTCTGCCGTAGCTGATCACTGTTACAATGCTGTGGGTGATCACGATATAGTTTTCTCCGATACCAAGGTTCTCTGCAAACCTACCGGTTTTTATCAGAGATTTGTCCACGAGGCAATTCAGATTTACAAACACAAGACATAATTTCAACCGAGAGGATGGTTTCAAATTAAGCAATCACTGGAAAGATGTTCTAAATCAAACCAAACATTAAACTAATTTTCAATGGTACAGTATATATTTTTTTCAAGTAGTGGTATCCCAAACTTTCACAACTGCTTATTTTCTCTTCACACCAACATTATGTAAACTCCCCTCCTCCCCCCCCCTCGCCGGTCTGAACATGTTCCCTCTACGTCGTCGTGCATCATGCTAATCCCCCAATTACATGCTAATATTTATGCTAACTCCTATGTCAAGGCGCTCTGTTTCCTCCCACACAGCTTGAAGAATGCGGTCTGGGCTTGGCTGTGTTCACTCCAGCACTGTCCTCTGGACAGTCCGGTCCCTTCACCTGATGAAGGCCACTTGTTTTGTGGCCGAAACGTCGTGATTTTTTTGTTATTTTATTTTTTACCTACGTGACTTTACTGAATAGAACCAAAGAGTATGGATCCTTGCAGTCACGAAAGCTTCAAATCTAGAACTATACAGATATACATAGAGAGGTACAAGAACAACAACCGCCATTCGCCACTAAGTGGCGGTGACGTCACCACGACGCTTGTGCCATGCCATGTGTACCCTGAGGCCACGTAAAGTGTCGAACGCCCGCTGGCAGGAGGTCACGGGGCAGACCCAGGTGCCACGGGTTGACTGACTGAGATGACTGGCTGATGCACCACCTGTGCCCCCTACTGTGCCAACCTGCTGTGCCTTAGCCACCCGGCGCTCCGCTCGTTGTTGTGAGCGTCGCTCCTCCGCCCTCCGTTGTTGTTGGAGGGCGACTACCTCCAACTGCCCAGTAGCGTCCTTCACGAGCCTCCTCCACAGAGGCCGATCTTGACTCCGCTGGTACCAGTCATCGGCAAGTCCACTCAGCTCCACGTCCTCCTGTACCACATCACTCCATCTCTTCTCTAGCCCGTGCCGCGCCCGTTTAGCCCCCTCGATCCGGCCGAACAAAAGCTGTTTCGGTATGCGGTGGCTGGGCATGCGGGCTACATGACCCAGCCATCGCAGCCTTGCCCGCCGGAGGAGCTCACCGATGGGACCTTGCCCAGATCTTTCAAGGATTTGTGAGCTCCTCACACAATCCAGTCTGGTTAAACCCAGGATGGATCGTAGGCAGACCAGCCTAAATGTTTCTAACTGGCGAAGATGTTCCATTAGGGGGGTCCACGTTTCGCAAGCGTAGAGAAGGGAGGGAATGACTGTGACCGAGAAGACCTGCAGCTTAGTGCTGAGCGACAGACCAGGTAGCTTCCACACAGCGTTACGCAACCGATGAAAAGATATTGCCGCTCGACTGATTCGGAGTGAGACCTCTGCTGTTAAACTGGAGCCGGTCATAAGCACACTGCCCAGGTATGGGAAACTCTCCACTCTCTCCACAACTGTCCCATCACCGATTGGCAGCTGTGGGGGTGGAGTGTCCGATGGTACAAAGTACCCAGGCAGCTGCTTAGTTTTGGTGGGGCTGATGGTAAGGCCCCATCTCTTAGTGGCACGCTCCAGTCTCAGCAGCAGCGTCTCCAACTCCTCCTCTGAATGAGTAGCTATTACCAAATCATCGGCACACATAACGTGGTTGAGCAATAGGGAGCCATCCCTTGACCGCACCCGGGCATCGATCAGCCTCCCATTATATCTGTACCATGTGGAGATTCCCCCGGTACAGCTATTGAAGGCTTCACGAACTACGTGGTCAAAATAGATGTTAAATAATGTGGGAGCCAGAGGACATCCCTGTCGCACCCCAAGGTGTACAGGGAATGGCTCGGACTCCCGGCCACGTAGTTTTACCCGGGCCCGCTCACCATCATGAAGGTCCTTAATGATCGTGAGCAGAGGGTCAGGTACTCCAAAAGCACGAAGAACAACCCAGAGCCCAGGCCTACTGATGGTATCATAGGCCTTGACCAGGTCAATAAAGCAGAGATGTAGGTCTTGCTGGAATTCCCTACACCTCTGCTGTAGCAGACGGACAGAAAATATGGCATCTGTGCAGGACCGCCCTTTCCTGAAACCGCATTGGGGCTCCGCAAGCCTCTCCTCAGCGTGCCTGGCAAGGCGATGTTGAATAATCCTTGCCAGGACCTTTCCCGGCACACTGAGGAGTGAGATGCCCCTGTAGTTGTTACAGTCTGTGCGGTCCTCCTTCTTAAAGAGGGGGACCACCAGGGCATCCTTCCAATCCTGTGGAACCTGTCCAGAGGTCCAGACTGTTGTTATGATGTCATATAGGGCAGCCTGTGCACAAACGCCACCCTCCCTCAGCATTTCGCTTGGGAGATCATCTCTGCCCGCTGCCTTTCCTGGTCTCAGACTCCGGATCGCCTTCAGTACTTCCTCAACAGATGGCACTTCAGCCAGCCACTGACAGGGGGAGACTTCTTCCAATATTTGAGGCACCGCAGCCTCAGCAGGATCATCCTCACTTTGTGCCACGATGTTTTCCTGGCTGAGGGATTTTCGCTCCCCCAGGACCTCACAGAAATGCTCAGCAAATCTGCAGACCTGTTCCTGGGGGTCAAAGATTGGATCACCGTTTTTTCCCCTAATGATGGTAATAGGTGTGGCGCTGCAGGTTACTTTTTTGATGGAGTTAAATAGAGATTTGTGATCGTGGGCCACTGAGGCAGACTCCATCTCCTCAGCAACCCGCGACCACCACCCATCCTTGCAGCGCCTCACGGCTCTCCGAACCTCCGAGCGAAGGCTGCGGTAAGCCTCCTCATTCTCTGATGTGGGATTCTGTAGCCGATGGGAGTGGGCCTGTTGCTTTTTCTCAACCATCCTGAACACCTCCTCTGTCAGCCAGCGTCTCTGGGGAGGTCTGGACCGCGTACCCAAAGCAGCCATTGCAGCTGCATGAGTCACAGTCCTAAACCTCGCCCATTTACCCTCAACATCAGGAGGAGTGGGGGACAATGCCAACCCCAGCCGCAGGCGATGATGAAATTCTCGCTTGCAACTTTCATCAGATAACTGAGACCAGGCCACTTTTGGTTGGAATGGGGTCCTGGGTGTACACCCACCACCGGAGCGGAAGAATGGCAGGCGCATCTTACAGATGACAAGTCGATGGTCAGAAGGCAGATCAGCTCCACGGCAGGTCCTGGGCTCGCATCCGCTGGTCCGTCACTATGTAGTCCAGCAGATGTTGCTTGGACCCGGCATGCATCCATGATGTTGTGTGGATGCGCCGATGCCGGAACAGTGTGTTGGTAATTACAAGCCCATGGGCTGCACAAAAATCTAGCAGCCTCCTACCGTTGTTATTGAGCTGATCCGGCCCATGCGCTCCAATCACTCCAGACCAGGTGCCAGCATCATGACCAACTCGGGCATTGAAGTCACCCAACAAGATGACTATCCCGAGGGGCCACTTTAGCCAGCACCTGTGACAGGAGGTCATAGAAGGCATCTGACTCATCGGCTTTGCCTGCATCCCTCCACGGATGTTCGTCTTCGGTGGAGGCATAAGTAACCACGACCACCAATCCTCGCCTCCGATTGATGGGAAGGCGAGCCCAAAGTAGCCTGGGGCTTACAGCTTCCCACACCTCACCGCCACGCTCCCACGCTCCTTTCATTCTTTTGTTCAAAAGAAGAGCCACACCCTGTTATTTGACAGTCTGCTGCCCCGAGTAGAGGACTGTCCACCCCTCATGGTGGCAGGAGCCAGAACCGGTCCACCGGACCTCCTGAATGCCACAGAAATCCAGGCGGTACCGGTCTAGCTCCCGACAGAGGAGTGGCAGCCTCTCCTTCGCAGTGAGCGTTCGAACATTCCACGTGGCCAAACGAAGTGGCTTTTCGTTGTTTCTGGAGGAGCCCCGAGGGTAGAGATTCAATCTCCTGGCTCCGCCAATTGGGGTTTGGCCAGGAGACGTCATAGACGCCTGTCCCGCCGGGGCCTCCGGCACAAGCTTATTAGTTACATATTTAAGTCGTAGTTTCGTGGTAATTTTTTGAAGGTGGAGGGGTTACCAGCCCCTTGCACCCGTCCAGAGCCCCCATTTAGCCCCTGTGGTGGTCACAGACGCTATGAGGGGAGGAGCCGATCGGAATTGGCCTTCCCCCCACAGCACTGTCCACGACAGAGTTGCCTGTCCAGCACCGCGAGGAGGTAAGGGGTTGTTTTGCCGGAGAGGTACACACACAGTTACACATGCACAGAGAAACATACAGAGGTACACACAGTGACATGGCGACACAAAGACAATGACAGACTGCGTTGCAGGGTGAAGTTGTCACCTGAAGGGCAGGTAAGGGGGTGTGTTACCAGCCACTAGAGGGCGGTATGCCTCCTCAGCTGTCCTCTTCAAGTAGATAACCTGTGTACACAAACAAAACGTTTTCTTTGGTTCTTCGGTAAAGTCATGTAGATAGAAAAATAATAATAAAAAATCAAGTGAATAAAAAACCGTGAGGAAGGAGCCAACTGAGGATCCAATCAAAACCATCACCTTGCCATACATAGCAGGGGTAACCAAAAAGATTTCCAAAATCATGAACAAACACAAGATCCAGATCCCATTGAAACACAGTAAATAAAATTCGTGATCTGATCCCATCTGTGAAGGACAAGATTCCTGACATGCAATATCCCAGCGTCTGCAAACTAAGCTGTACCTGCGGCAGCAGTTACATTGGGGAAACTAAACGACATGTCTCGGACCGTGTTCGTGAGCGCAAGGCAGATTTGAAACACGGAAGGTACAATACTTCTGCCGTGGCTGATCATTATTTTAATGCGGCTGGCTCACACGAAAGAGATTTCTCTAAGACGATGGTACTTTGCAAGCCTACTGGCTATCAACAAAGATTCGTTCATGAAGCCATCCATATATACAGACACAGACTAGAGGCCGACCGAAACTGAATTTCTGGTTTCGGCCGAAACCAAAACCAGACCGAAAGTTAAAAATTGACTTTCGGCTGAAACTGAAGCCGAAAGTTTAACTACACTTTCGACCGAAACAGAAAGGTATATAACCGAAGTTACCGAACACAAGATTTATGAAATGTCATGATGCAATGCTACTTTAATTAAAAATAAATCTAGAACTAATCAGAGCCTGCAGTAAGTCATTAAATATCAAATCTTTAGGTGTTACTTACTTAGTAATTATATCCAAACAAACAAATGTTGTAGTTAAGAAACAACAGTTTTTCCGCATTCAGCCAGACAGGCTGCCGTCTGTTGACCGGTCGTATATACATTAGAGGCCGTCCATAAATGACGTAATGCGATTTTTGACGTCACAAAAAGTCAGACCCCCCCTCAAATATGACGTCACAAAGGTCTGCCCCCACCCCCCCCCCCCATAAAAATAAAACATGCTTCAAATCGCTTTAAACTATTGTCATTGTAGTGCATATTTAACGTGGCACTGCACTCTGATGTTGTAGGAGAAAACATTTAAGTAGAACGTGTTGTCTATATTTATTTAAAGTTCTGCATTCTGATGTGACGTCACATTTCTCAACCCCCCCCCCTCCTCACACATCGTCACAAATGTCTGACCACCCCCCCACCCCCCAGGTGCGTGATGTAATTTATGGATGGCCCCTTAGCAGACCATGGTTGCGGCTGTAACCTCGCTCCCAAGCTGCTGCTGCTGACGTGTGTGTGTGTTTGCAGCCTATCGCATAGGATTGCCTAGTGCCGGCTGACCGACCGATAGGAAGAGTTATAGACGTAGAACTAACATTATATTCTAAAAATAGATCTTCGGTTGACGATTGACCGAAAGTAAATATCAGTTTCGGCGGAAACCAGACCGAAAGTTAAAAATTGACTTTCAGCCGAAACCGAAAGTATGCCGAAAGAGGCAATTTGCCAACTTTCGGCGCCGAAACCGAATTTCAGTCGGCCTCTAACACAGACACAATTTCAACCAAGAGGATGGTTAAAAACTCAGCAATCATTGGAAAGATGTCATCAACCACTTTGATGACATCTTTATTGTTAACCTCCACCATCAGCAGTGTGGGTGTGTGCACTGAGGTGCAATGATTGCCTGGACCGCCCTTTGATTGGTGTAGTAGCTTGTCTTTTCTCCTACATTAACATTAGCTGCCCCGCCCATGCTGCTGGCACACTTGGGTGATGTCCATCTCTAAACCTTTATAAAGTTTGCCTTTAGAGGCTAACCCCCTTTTTCCTGATGACGGCCGCTTGTGTTGCAATCGAAACAGTGCTTTTTGTTTAATTTTAATATTTATTTTTATTACTGAAAGAACCAATAATAAGTCTACATTATAGACTGCCAGTACGCTCACTCAGGTTAAGAACTAGGCTACAGTCTACATTATAGACTGCCAGTACGCTCAGTTTAATAACCATTGCTCCAGTCTACATTAGACTGCCAATACGCTCACCAGCTTAAAAACCAGGCTACAGTCTACATTATAGACTGCCAGTACATTCACCCAGCTTAATAACTATTGCTACAGTCTAATTTATAGACTACCAGTACACTCACCAAACTTAATAACCAGACTACAGTCTACATTATAGATTGCACGTACACTCACTTCGATTAAGAACCATGCTACAGTCTACATGAATGTTTTTTGGTTTTTATTATTTTATTTTTATTATTTTTATTCACTTTTTTAATTATTATTTTTCTATCTACATGACTTTACCAAAAGAACCAAAGATGATGAATTCCTGCAGCCACAAAAATTAAGTAAAAAAATACATTAACGAATCGGCTATATACATCGCACATCACCAACATTTTGGCGCTCAATGTGACATGTGTATGAATCAAACTTCCATCACCAAATCAATGCGTCACCAGGCATGTAGCCACTGTGTCACACCGCCCACCGGAGGGAATATAATTGTTGTAGAGTGCTGCGGGGCGGGTGGGGGGGGAAGCTCACTGCGTAAGAGCCGATGAGGAAAGCAGCATTGGCTCGTTTACGTTGGTCGGGCCCCGTATAGTACACGATCCTCTTGCGTGCCAGAGAGAAGGACTACATAACAGACAAAGACATGCACAGACACGCACATAACGACACATAAGAGCTGGAGTGTGACCGCATCTGATTCAAACTTGGGGAGGCCCAGGACTGGTTCAGATAACAGCCACTGTTGATGGTAGCCGTAAGCAGGAATAAAACTGGAGTCGCGGGGTTCATCGTGCATTCTTATCATTGCGTCACCGCTGCCCACATATATATACACACACATGCATGTATGTATGTGGAGAGTGGGGAATGGTGCTGCAGCGATTAACAGTTTGTGCTGGGAAACCGTTGACCCGAGTTTGATTCCTGCTCAGGGCCAACATTCGTGATGAATATCTGAACCGTTCCAGGGCATCCAGTAAGTCAATTCATTTGGGCATAGTGCTGGCCACCTACCCCCTCGTGCATAGTACCAGCCTTGATGGGTGCTCGTGTGTGCATCTGTGTGTATACATGTATGTGCAGGTGCCGGTCAATACCTTGAGTTTCTTATTGAGCTTGCAGCAGAAGCGATATAGCATGGCCAGGTTCAAGGGCCCAAAATCTGCATAAAAGCTGCAAAAACACACACTGTCACCTACAGCCTCCACTCACTCCCTTACCTCCACTCAGTCATCCCAAATTATATTGCCACCGCACACCACTGTCTGCCTCCTCTCTCTCCGTAGGCCAGCACCTGGGATCCAGTGCAATTGAACCACCTACACCAGGGGTCGGGAACCTATGGCTCGCGAGCCAGATGTGGCTCTTTTGATGATTGCATATGGCTCGCAGATAAAACAAAATATTCTCACTTGTTTTAATCCATCCATCGATTTTTCACTGCGCATGTCCTGTTCAGGGCTGCAGGAGCAATTGTCCATTATTTTAATTGGATGATACTGGCCTACGTTTGCCGTTGCTGGGTAAAACAGGTAAACGCCCCCTTTTGAATCAGTCTGAGACTGCGTCTGCTCGGTCATTAGCTCAAAGCTAACCCTTCGACGAAGAAGATGGCGAAAAGAAAAAAAGACGACGAGTATCGTACATTTCAGGACGAATGGACCGAAGAATTCGCCTTTGTGGAGAGAGCGGGTTCTGCGGTGTGTCTAATTTGCAATGACAAAATTACATCGTTGAAACGGTCGAATGTAAAGCGGCACTTCGACACGCGCCACGCTACCTTTGCATCAAAATACCCTGCGGGAGACAGCAGAAAGAAAGCGTGCCAAGAGCTTCTGAGCAGGGTGCAAGCTAGCCAGCAGCAACTCCGCGTATGGACCCGGCAAGGTGACTATAATTCGGCTAGCTTTGCTGGTTCTTTAGCAATAGTGAGGAACGGAAAACCATTCACAGATGGCGAGTATGCTAAAACGTTCATGCTGGATGTAGCCAATGAACTTTTTGATGATCTTCCGAACAAAGACAAGATAATCAAACGGATACAAGACATGCCTCTGTCGGCAAGAACTGTTCATGATCGTACCATCGTGATGGCAAACAAAGTGGAGGAAACGCAAGTGAAGGACATAAATGCAGCGCCGTTCTTTTCTCTGGCTTTGGATGAGTCAACAGACGTGAGCCATTTGTCGCAGTTCAGCGTGATTGCAAGATATGCTGTTGGTGACACACTGCGCGAAGAAAGTCTTGCTGTTCTGCCATTAAAAGGGTCCACAAGAGGTGAGGATTTATTCAAGTCTTTCATGGAGTTTGCTCAAGAAAAAAGTCTACCTATGGATAAACTTCTCTCAGTGTGTACTGATGGTGCTCCGTGTATGGTGGGGAAAAACAAAGGATTTGTGGCGCTTCTCCGTGAACATGAAAATAGACCCATCCTAAGTTTCCATTGCATTATACACCAGGAGGCACTTTGTGCTCAGATGTGTGACAGGCAGTTTGGCGAAGTGATGTCGCTGGTCATTCGTGTGATCAACTTTATTGTTGCCCGAGCCTTAAATGATCGCCAGTTTAAAACACTGCTGGATGAAGTTGTAAATAACTATCCTGGTCTGCTTTTGCACAGCAATGTGCATTGGTTGTCAAGAGGGAAGGTGCTTAGCCGTTTTGCGGCTTGCCTGAACGAAATCCGGACTTTCCTTGAAATGAAAGGCGTCGGGCATCCTGAGCTAGCCGACACCGAGTGGCTCCTCAAGTTTTACTATCTCGTAGATCTGACTGAACATCTGAACCAGCTCAACGTGAAAATGCAAGCCATTGGAAATACAGTGTTATCCCTTCAACAAGCTGTATTTGCTTTTGAAAACAAGCTGGAGCTTTTCATCACGGATCTTGAAACAGGTCGTTTACTACATTTTGAAAAACTGAGCCAATTTAAAGATGCATGCACAGCAAGTGAGCCCATTCAAAACCTTGATCTCCACCAGCTAGCTGGCTGCACATCCAGTCTCCTACAGTCCTTCAAAGCACGCTTTGGAGAATTTCGTGAGCACACTCGTCTTTTTAAGTTCATCACCCATCCAAATGAGTGTTCACTGAACACAGCCGACCTGAATTACATCCCTGGTGTCTCCGTCAGAGATTTTGAAGCAGAAGTGGCTGACCTGAAGGCCTCAGACATGTGGGTGAATAAGTTCAAGTCACTGAATGAAGATTTGGAAAGAATCACACGACAGAAAGCGGAGTTGGCGAGCAAGCACATGTGGACAGAAATGAAAAAACTCCAACCCGAAGACCAGCTGATTCTCAAAACTTGGAACGCGCTTCCTGTCACATACCACACACTGCAGCGTGTGAGTATTGCTGTATTGACCATGTTTGGATCTACGTATGCATGTGAGCAGTCATTCTCACATCTTAAAAACATCAAGTCCAACCTACGATCACGTTTAACGGATGAAAGCCTCAACGCTTGCATGAAGCTTAACCTCACCAAGTACCAACCCGACTACAAAGACATCAGCAAATCCATGCAGCACCAGAAGTCGCATTAATGGTGAGTGTTATAACAACATTATTTAAAAGAATAAATTCAGAGGCTTATTATACTGACATTTAGTTGAATTCACTTTTAAAATATATTATATGGCTCTCACTGAAATAAATTTCCAAATTTTTTGCTTTCATGGCTCTCTTAGTCAAAAAGGTTCCCGACCCCTGACCTACACCTTGGGCGGGGCGTAGTAGTTACTCACTTCTCGTAGACCAGCTCATCGTCCGTGCTGAAGTAGTGTGTGTTCGCCGTGCTGCGCGGCTTACTACGCAGCGTGCTGAAGTACAGGCGGTCTGCTCGCGCGCGCACACGCACGCACACACTCATTGTACACATATGCACACAAATTATACACACAGGCAAACTCACTCTCCTTACCTCTCCCTTCATATCTCTCAACTACCCTCCACGTACTATCCTGCCTTTCCCCTCTCATATCTCTCTCTCCTAGCATCTCTCTCTCTACCCCGTCCACGCACTCTCCTCGCTCTCCCCTCTAATCTCATTCTACTCCCCTTCATACACTCTCCTATCTCTCCCCTCGCTCTCCATGCACGTCATGTATTGTTTATTAATTATTATTTTCCACTCAAAATATGGTCCACTCATTTGTAGTTGACAGTAAACGTCATGCTTTTTGTTGAATTAATGTAGAATGTTCACTGTGAACCACCACTTGACTGTGGTGACAATAAAACCTGGTCATGTTCTATTAAAAAACGCCAGCCAATGATATCAGTTGGTTTCTTAAGTTTACCCAGGTGGTAACTCAAGAGACCAGGACAATCATATATCAGGATAGTCATTTTCAAAAGTGACCAGGGGTGTTGTCTGCCAGCAGGAGGCAACAATTGCTATGCATAATCCTAACTTAGTACTGTAATATGCAGGTAATTTGGTACGTGTTGACAAACAGCGACACAAAACAGGATACTCTTGCAAATTATGTCCACATTAATAATTAATAATTAGGGCGGCCACTGGAATCGACCCGTGAAACTGCAAAAAGCGGTTAACTACTGTAGTGCCATCACGCAAGATTGGGAATTCCACAGTTCCTCACGTTATATTTAACAATGTTATTCTTAAACACAGTAAATCAATCTGCTTTGCACAACAATCTCAGCCGGCCTATCATGCAATGACTATACTGTATTACGATGTTGGAATACTGTTGTAATATCTGCACCTCCGATTAGCACAGTTGGCTACGTACGGTGCAAAAGAAGCTCAACATCATCTCATCCACACTGCGTTCAACTACCACACTGCAGGTCACAACAACTCGCTCACCCACCGAACTCATCACACTGCAGTCACATCACCTCTCTTTCCACTTTGTCCTTAGCACTACTCCATCCTATCATCTCTTTTCCCCAATCTCTTATAATAGCCTTGCTCAATTCATGACACGTGTCAACTAATATCTATTACAACTTTGATAATGCTGACTCTTTGGTTCTTTCGGTAAAGTCACGTAGGTATAAAATAAATCACGACGTTTCGGGCGCAACACAAGCGTCCATCATCAGGTGCTTTCCCACTTGATGGATGCTTGTGTTGCGCCCGAAACGTCGTGATTTATTTATTACCTACGTGACTTTACCGAAAGAACCAAAGAGCATGGATTCCTGCAGTCACGAAAGCTTCAAATCAAGTTTGATAATACTGTTTGTTGCTGGCCACTTGACGTCATGAACCTCTGCAACTGTTTCTAAACAATGCAGCGCAACTCAATTCACCTTTAATGATCTCCGCTGAGCTGATGAGCTCGTTTTCATCAGCCATGGCGCCTCCTCGTCGTCTTCCTTTCCTTGAACTCGTCAGTGAAGCTCAAGAGTCCGAAGACCGACTCTCTTGCGGCCTTCTTTTCCCTGCGGCCGAGGTCGCCCCTGCCTGGGTTAAGAAATCTATCCGACAACCGTTAACTGTGGGTACGCCTTGGCCGCACCGGTTCACGCACGTCTGCTTGGCTTGCGGCGACTCGCGAAGCCTACCCCGCGCTCCCGGCGACGCTAGAACATCTCGGGTAAGGCGTGACAAGTTGAACGTTCCCGACTGCGCCGCTAAAAAAGCGAATTACAGCAGCGCCGCCATGTTTGACGTCTCGCCCCTGGCAACGGCGCAAAGGGATTGCATTTCCCACAATGTATCGGCGTCTCCCGCGCGTACTCAATTGGCTGCAGGGAATATCACGTGACACGTAGGGGCCACGCCTAACACCAGCGGTGGCTAATCTTCGCTACGAAATGTAATGAAGGTCACCTGACATACAACAGGCCAATAGCAGGACACGGAGCTTCACAACAGTTTAATTCATAAAATGCGCGTGACGTCATCCCAGGAAGGCGCAGGGCTGCGCTGTGCTGCCTCCACTGGAGCAAGAACGACAGCCCCACTTGGGGAGGGTATTTTAGCGAGCTCGTATACGCCGACCAGACGCCGTGGAATACCCACACTTTATCCCAGCACACGCGACCTGCCTGTCAACTGTGGTGCACCCAGTTAGATAGTTGCTGCTGGGTGGACAGAGGCGAAGCCGTGGGGGCGTGGAGGGTTTAACAAACGTGGCTTGCTAGCTTATCATGACAGTACATCACTGTGGGGCGTCTGTAAAGTATATTTGGAATTTACATGTTCTCCCCGTGGTCTCGTGGACTCCATGCATTTAAGAGTATTTGCCCCCTATAAATATTTACACGATAAGTCACTTTATATTCTTGGTTCTTTCGGTAAAGTGTAAAAACCACAGCAAGAAAATTTCAAAAAATTTTGCTGTGGTTTTCACACCTGATGATGATTGCGTGTGTTGCAATCGAAACGTCGTTAGAATTTTATTGTTTTATTTTTATTATTTCCCTTCTACGTGACTTTACCGAAAGAACCAAGAATATGAATCCCTGCAGTCACGGAAACTTTAAATCAAAAGATAAGCCACTTTTGATTTAAAGCTTTCGTGACTGCAGTAATTCATATTCTTAGTTTTTTCGGTAAAGTCACGTTGAAGAGAAACAACAAAATAATATAATATATATAAAACAATAAAAATTCTCACGACGTTTCGACCATAACTCAAACGGTCATCTTCAGGTGTGTTGGTTTGCATAAATTTATTTTTAAACGGCGCATTTATTTATTTATAAAAAAACGTTAGCGTCACGCGCAGCGATTTGGCAGTTTGCCCAGGACTAGTCCATCTATATTTTGAAAGAGGAGGGGGGAGACGAAATTTTTATAATGTATGCTGTCTGAAAGCCACTGTAAGCGTGAACAATCAATTAAGAACTGAAATGGTTTATCAAATCTTTCCAATGATTGCTAAGATAGAATCCATCTTCTCGGTTGAAATTGTCTCTGTGCTTGTATATGTGGATAGCCTCATGAACGAATCTCTCATAGAAGCCAGATGGCTTACAAAGAACCTCTGTCTTGGAAAAGTCAATGGCATGTGAGCCTACTGAATTAGAACAATGATCTGCTACGGCCGAGGTGTTGGTCCTACCGTGTTTAAGGTCTGCTTTGTGTTCACGAATGCGGTCCGAGACATGGCGTTTGGTTTCTCCAATGTAACTACTACCACAGAGGCAACTTAGTTTGTAGACACCAGGGTATTGTATGTCCGGAATCACATCTTTTACAGACGGAACCAGATCACGGATTTTATGTAATGTGTTGAAACGGACCTGGATCTTGTGTTTATTCAAGATTTTGGAGATCTTTTTTGTGATCCCAGCAATGTAGGGTAAACTGATGGTTTTGAAAGGCTCCTCAAGAGGGTTCTTCTTGAAGACTCTGTATCATAGAGCCCAATGCATATCCGACCAGGAACACACAAGCAGTGAACTCAAGCACGTACACCAAGCTCTTAGGGCTAATGGTTACTCCGACTATACAATCCGCAAAGCTATCACTCAAACCATGAAGAAGAACCCTCTTGAGGAGCCTTTCAAAACCATCACTTTACCCTACATTGCTGGGATCACAAAAAAGATCTCCAAAATCTTGAATAAACACAAGATCCAGGTCCGTTTCAACACATTACATAAAATCCGTGATCTGGTTCCGTCTGTAAAATATGTGATTCCGGACATACAATACCCTGGTGTCTACAAACTAAGTTGCCTCTGTGGTAGTAGTTACATTGGAGAAACCAAACGCCATGTCTCGGACCGCATTCGTGAACACAAAGCAGACCTTAAACACGGTAGGACCAACACCTCGGCCGTAGCAGATCATTGTTCTAATTCAGTAGGCTCACATGCCATTGACTTTTCCAAGACAGAGGTTCTTTGTAAGCCATCTGGCTTCCATGAGAGATTCGTTCATGAGGCTATCCACATATACAAGCACAGAGACAATTTCAACCGAGAAGATGGATTCTATCTTAGCAATCATTGGAAAGATTTGATAAACCATTTCAGTTCTTAATTGATTGTTCACGCTTACAGTGGCTTTCAGACAGCATACATTATAAAAATTTCGTCTCCCCCCTCCTCTTTCAAAATATAGATGGACTAGTCCTGGGCAAACTGCCAAATCGCTGCGCGTGACGCTAACGTTTTTTATAAATAAATAAATGCGCCGTTTAAAAATAAATTTATGCAAACCAACACACCTGAAGATGACCGTTTGAGTTATGGTCGAAACGTCGTGAGAATTTTTATTGTTTTATATATATTATATTATTTTGTTGTTTCTCTTCAACGTGACTTTACCGAAAAAACTAAGAATATAAGCCACTTTGTTGAGCTAATAATTTGTGATATTCATAAGAGCTAAATAGCTCAGTGAGCCTTACCTGGTAAAATAAAAATAATTTAAAATAAAAAAGGTTGCCCAAGATTAAAATATAAGTCGACAGTCTTTCAACCAGGGTAGAGCCGTTAATGTCTGTTTTGACCGATGTACTTTGCATAAGGGCGTAATCATATTCATAGCCGCCACTTAAGTACTTGAATTTACATTTGTCATATGAGAGCTCACGAACATTTTTATACGGATTTGTTTAATTTAACTAGGGGTTCCATTAATGTACACAATGACATGTAAATGATAATCGTTTAAATACGAGTATATCACAGCTTAATGTTCTATATTTTGTCTATGCTTTTTAGTCAAATTAAATTCCATTGAAATACGTAGGAAAAACTAAACTATTTACAGAAAAACGAATGTCCACAGACTCTAAAGGAGATATCGAAATGCTTTTTGCTCCATTATGTTCTACGCGCATTTATTTTGCCATTATAGCCTATGGGCATTGTTTTCTGTAATTTGTTTTAGTCTTTCCGGAAATAATATTGTTCGGTGTCATTTAACTCGTTGCTTCAGTGTAAAATAAATCAAAACAGAAATGTTTACCTGTCAAAGAAGACGCATACACGTTCCGGAAGACCGATCTTCAAGAATTATCATCCAACCTTTAAGCCTACGTATTTCCCAATGCAACAGCACTGTCTGTAAGTTTCACTGTAACTATGGGTTTCCTCGATCTCCATTGCAACACAAGTAATACACCTCACATAACCATGTTGCTCTCGCCTTGTTCAAAGAAACGCGGAGACCTGCCTTACATTGAACACTATCAGCTGCTTTACAAACACACGCCACGCCAGCCACATGGCAACACTACGCCGTTAAAACCTATTATGGCTTTTAAAATACATACGCAATGACTCTTTCCCATGTTTCTATGCATAAAACAAAACAATTTTTTTACACAACTCATTGGCGACACGGCCGTCTGGGAGTGCATCATATTAGTAAGCACTCTTTCAACACAAACTCTGGACCGACTTCGATAATTCAGTGCTCCATTAGCATTCAGGCTTTTTTATTTATCGGTAAGGACTCTCCGTTAGATGAAGGCGGCATTGGCTCGTTTGCTTGGGTCGGTCCCCGTATTTTACGTTTTATGTGGATACCGGAAAGCGGCGTAGTCTTCCGTGTTTTTTTGCGATGTATTAATTATTCTTCATGGCACTCATTACAGATTTCGTATTGTTTTACTGTTTTTTGAAACATTCAGCCAGGGTTACTTTCGTTTTCATAAGTCAGTTGTGCTTTATTATTAAAAGGATACACTTTTATAATTGACAAAAAATATTTAAAAAATAAAGCAGTTACAAGCCAAGTGATATTCCATACAGCACACAAGTCGACACCAATTGCCAGGAGACAATAATATTTTGCTTAATTCATTCAGCTACAGCTGCCAACTTTGAAAAATGCAAGAAAGCTCAGCACTGAAGCCTAATAATGGATACATGTGGAGGAGTAATCTTATTTGAAGGGTGGCAGCGGGTGGAATGTGCAGGGTTTTTGTAAAAAGCCATTTAGAACCGCTTGTGCATTCATTACAATGAACGTACTTGGCTTTGGTACACTGTGAAATGGTGAAAAACATGGACACTACGAGGGCGAGATGCTCATGTACACTTAGTTTTTTTTTTATTGTGCATGATGGAGGCAGTACAGCAAGCAGGTTAATGACAGATTTTGGGGCAGCCAAATTTTGAGTGTGCCCTACTCTGGTACATGTGGGTATTCTCAGGCTACACCAGCTTTCTTAAAATAAAAAGTGCTCGGATATAAAGTCTAAACACTAGAAAGCAGCTATACGTTGGCAAGTGGAATATTAAAAAGTCTTGTGGCTCTCTTGGGTATATATTTAAAACCTTAGTATAGTATTGTTAAAATGTCTACAGTGCATCTCAAAGATGTCATCTTTAAATAAATCACACATACGTATAGTCGTGAACATTTTGTATACAATGTATAACTTGCCAGGTAGCTCAGTGGTAGAGCTGTTTGCAATTGGAAGCTTGCGAGTGGAAATCCAGGTTGGTGGTTGACTTCGCGCATCTTCCTTCCGTTGTCTATAAATTGAGAACCACTCTTTGGGAACGGCAAGTGGTTGTCAGATGCAATCTCCTTTGCAACAGGAGTGTGGAACTTCCACAGCTTGCTCAGAACTGGAAACAGGAGTTGCACACCGCCTCTGCTTATGCGAGGAGGAAATTACTACCTTTTAGGCTGTATAATCATTACACCGTTTAAATTCTGATAGTGTACTTTGTATAAATTATGTTTAATTATAAATGCAGGCAAAATAATCACGTCTAGAATTGTGGACATCATGAATAGTGGTGCAAGGATGGCTATGTAGTTATGGGATACACTGTATCTGCCAGGTATTTAACATAAAACAAAACCCGTCAACGAATCATCCACTTACAATTTTAGCAACGCACCACCCTCTTCCGCTACCGGAATTCTCAATCCCAGGAAGGTTCTTATCTCCTTGTTTCAACCAGTACTGCTCAGATTTTCACCAAGCTGAGAATGTACACAAAGTCTGGATTGGGCAATTTTACTCGAGTATTTTTAGAAGTAACTTGTCCAATCCAACAATTTTTGTTTGTGCACTGTTTGATTTATTCTGCAACATGGTTTTTGTTGCCATTTCTATTTGGTTGTTTTTGCTCTGCTGTATTTTTTATGTAATTTCTTTCATCAGTCACTCTTGAGTTATCGCCTGATAAAACAAAATAAACCTATAACTTGAAAACCCGACACTTGCTCTTTCCTCAGGCATTCCTTTCCTTCACGGATGTCTCACTCCGGGCGACCATTAAACAACCACCAACTGGCAGAGCCAACTGGAAACTAAAACCGGAAAAATTATCCTAGCAACACATTAGTGTCCGATAGAGACGACAATTCTCTAACTTGTGGAAATGGATGGAGTGAGCGAGCCAACACAGCACCAAGTTGCAAGATTGTGCATCAATTCTGTGTCAGTGGCACAGAGATGTCAGGATGCTGACTGTTGCAAATGCAGCTGTTGCTGCTGGGTGGTGGTAGCTGTTGCTGGGAAATAGGAAGACAAAGGTGGAGGTCCTGGTTTCGGAGCCATTGGACGTGTCATGGCCAAACCTGCACAACAAAGGGAAAGATGACATTAGAAGTTCAAAAGGTTTACCTTGGTGAAAGGCCAGAGGGAGAAAAGGATCTTTGTAAAGAATATAAGTTTCATTCCCATATGAGTCTCTCTATATAGCACGGTTGGCTACAATTAGCATGGTTGGCTACATACAGTGAGAGAAAAAAGTATTTGATCCCCTGCTGATTTTGTACGTTTGCCCACTGACAAAGAAATGATCAGTCTATAATTTTAATGGTAGGTTTATTTGAACAGTGAGAGACAGAATAACAACAACAAAAAACAGAAAAAAGCATGTCAAAAATGTTATAAATTGATTTGCATTTTAATGAGGGAAATAAGCATTTGAGCCCCTCTCAATCAGAAAGATTTCTGGCTCCCAGGTGTCTTTTATACAGGTAACGAGCTGACTTTAGGAGCACACTCTTAAAGGGAGTGCTCCTAATCTCAGCTTGTTACCTGTATAAAAGACACCTGTCCACAGAAGCAATCAATCAGATTTCAAACTCTCCACCATGGCAAAGACCAAAGAGCTCTCCAAGGATGTCAGGGACAAGATTGTAGACCTACACAAGGCTAGAATGGGCTACAAGACCATTGCCAAGCAGCTTGGTGAGAAGGTGACAACATCATTAGACCTCCTTTGCCAGTACCAAAATATAATAATAGGGTTTTCCCCCTTTTTTCTGGCAACAAAACTGAAACCTTTTTACAAGGATTCATGTCTGCATTAACCACAATACCTGCAGTCAAAATGGAAACAAAAAAAAACATACTATAATATATGCATTGTCCTTGAAACTGATTGGTTCACACCAAGGGACGGCTTTCTTTTGAGCCTCGACCCAATTGGTGTTCGACCAGGTGACGCCAAAAGGCGTCACCCGCAAGGTCCCCCCATTAAGGTCCTGGAGTGGCCTAGCCAGTCACCAGACCTTAATCCCATAGAAATCTGTGGAGGGAGCTGAAGGTTCAAGTTGCCAAACGTCAGCCTCGAAACCTTAACGACTTGGAGAAGATCTGCAAAGAGGAGTGGGACAAAATCCCTCCTGAGGTGTGTGCAAACCTGCTGGCAAACTACAAGAAACGTCTGACCTCTGTGATTGCCAACAAGGGTTTTGCCACCAAGTACTAAGTCATGTTTTGCAGAGGGGTCAAATACTTATTTCCCTCATTAAAATGCAAATCAATTAATAACATTTTTGACATGCGTTTTTCTGGATTTTTTTGTTGTTGTTATTCTGTCTCTCACTGTTCAAATAAACCTACCATTAAAATGATAGACTGATCATTTCTTTGTCAGTGGGCAAATGTACAAAATCAGCAGGGGATCAAATACTTTTTTCCCCTCACTGTACAGTACGAAAGAAATTCAACAATTTCAGCAACATTGATTTGACAAACTCTGGACCGATTTTGACATTTAGTGTCTCATCAGCAGTCAGGTTTTCTTGAAGGAATTGTGAACTCTATAGGCAAAGGCCCTCACTGTCATAAATGGGTGTCCCAGTCTGACGCAAAACCGTACAATACATGACAATAAACCGTATTTTCCCGCATACGCATATAAACCCACAGACGCATATACCCCGCAAAAATAGCGTTTTGTGTAAAACACATTTCAGATAGCCCGCACCTCCATATGCGGGGGCATGCATTCATATCTTTAACGTCGTACCCGCAGCTTAATTCCATCATATTAATACGAAGTTTACATTTGTAATACATTCTACCCTTAATTGTTAACATAAAAATCATAACGTGCACAAAGAAAACAAACTAACCGGCAAACGAATGAACTTAAAACAGTAAATAAGTAACAAAAGTAAATAGTCAAAAAATCATAACGTGCACAAAGAAAACAAACTAACCGGCAAACGAATGAACTTAAAACAGTAAATAAGTAACAAAAGTAAATAGTCAATAAATAAGTAACATATCACTGGTAGATAAGTATGGTAAGTAGTTTTAGCACTGGTAGATTGCGCACTGCGCAGATAATAGCAGCACTACGGTAACGCTGTCGCCTCGCCCCCAACCCCCCCCACCTCTCCCCCCAGCTGCCCCACCCCCCAACCCCCACCTCTCCCTCCCCCCAACTCTCCCGTCGCCTCCGCAGATCTTGCTCTGCCCCCCCACCTCTCTCTCCCCCCAGCTGCCCCACCCCCCAACCCCTCACCTCTCTCTGCCCAGCTCTCCCGTTGCCGGTAAACAGTGCGCGCACTTCAAATATTGTCGTTTAATTGTACAAACAATTCATTTAAAACGTGATAACATGTGCAATTGTAGTGCGAGTGGTTTATTCAGCATTGCTTTAGTCAAAGGTAAGTGTTGCATAGTGTATAGTCCTACCATGAAAACATTTAACGAGTTATGACATGTCACATGTGTAAGTGTAAAATATTTTTGGGATAGCCCGCACCTCCATATACCCCGCAGGGTCTTGTTTTCTTTGTAAAAAGTGGTATACCCAGCGGGTTATATGCGGGAAAATACGGTAATTATTGAGTGTCATTGTGGACAATATAACAAAATAAATGGGCAATACGCATCCTTCCCATAATTGTCTTACTGTATAAAATGTGTTAAAAAAGTGGCTTTAATGTGGAGAGATATGAAAACTAAATATGGGTAAATAGAGTATGACACCCACCAGTCACCCCCCGCACAGGAATAGAACCGTCACGTCGTTGTAGATACTTGGCATCCAGGCCGACTGGGTCACTCAGACTTAGCAGTGGAGAGAGAAAATGGGACAAGGGGGAGTGAGAACATAGGGTATGAGGATAAACAATTAATCATCTGGACTTTTATCTGTCTCTACATTCATAAACTAGTGCAATAACCACCCTAATTACATTCAATGTTTCTGTCCCTTAATTTTACTTAAAATGGTTTACTAGTTATTTGTCTGAGTCAACATTCGTTACAGGAAATGTGTTTGATTTAATATTAATTAATATTTTGTCGTCTATTTTTAATTGGTTGATTTTGCTCAGATTTCTATTTGGCTGATTTTTTTCTGACTACATTTATTTCCTGATTGTACATTATTACTGTTTTCATAATTTCGATTCCTCAGGCTGACTTTTCAATTTAATGACTGGTTGGCTGGATGGGGGTAATGTCTCACTTTCGGCTAGGGAAGGCAGAAAGGGGGGCCGTCGTTGTGAGAGGGAGTACCCCCCCACTGCCTCCGTGAGAAGGCGCCTCCAACAGTGGTGTGCTTGTGGTGACCATCTGGGCGCCAGGCTGCACACACAGCAAGTATCACCATTACTTTCAATAATAGCATCACAGCCCAACTAGTTGCATCAATACAACTACTACCATCACTGACAGGACCAACATCGTGCTGGAGGAGTCATTAGCACAGTTGGTTAGTATTTACCCTGTGTTTGACGGTGAAGTTCCGCATTGGGATGCCTGTGAGTGGAGACCCCAACCCCATCTTTAAAAAAAGACACATTCACAAAGGAAGAAAATTAGTTGGAGGTTGGAACAAGAAAGCACCCATCAGACATACTAATTAATCCCATAATATAATGAACACGTTCTGCCCAAACAAACATCAAACACACCCTTTGCCAGAGGATTTTGACAGTGAAATAAAAAGCAGGTGTTTGTGGAAGTCTGTTGCATTTTGTATAAGCCAGGATCTCAGCAGTGCCAGCTCAGAGTCTCCCAGCCACACGACCACATCTTTGACAGGGTTGATTTCACGTCATGTGTTTTTGTCTCACCGAAGTGGCCGGGGGCTGAGCTGGGTGGCATGGGCGGTACACCAGGGCAGCGTCGTCGTCTCTCTGCCGCTCCCTGGCCCCAGCCCGTCCCCCCACGCCAGTGCCCTGGTTCTCATTGAGCTGCTTGTTGAGCCATGAAATCACTGCCGGGGGACACAGGGCATGAACCTCAGCAGGAACAAAGAAAAATATCCCCCATAAAGCCTTAACAGACTCTTGAGGCAAGTGCTGTTAGCGATCACTTATGAAGGCCGGGACAGTACATGAGGCAGATGGCCAACACCACGCCCGGCTGCCTTTTACTCAAAAGAAGCGATGTTGACACATTGCACCAGGTACTCATTTGAGGCTGAGTTGACCTAGGGGAGCCCAGGATCTGCTCAGATAATCGTCACTGGTTTTGAACGTGAGTCAGAATCGAACTAGGGTCGCTGGGTTCATAGCAGAGCACGCTAACCGCGACACGGCTGCAAACACACACACACCCGATCAATGTATGTGATACGAAGCACATATGGATATGCACTTGTGTGATTTTGTGCAAGTGTGTGTTAGAGACGCTCACGAGCAGAGCACTGGGTGGCTACAATGGAGCAAGGTGCACAGTGGGTAGCATAGTTGATCCATCTGCCAGTCACTTCAGTCAGTCAACCCATAACACCTGGGTCTGTCTCATGACCTCCTGCCAGCGAGCCTTTAATACTTCATGTAATCACGTCAAAATGCACGCAGCCTGGCACAAGTGCTGTGGTGATGTCACTGCCACTTAGTGGTGAACGGTGGCTGTTGTATTAAGGCGTGGTTAATTGCATGTGAGCAAGTGGTGTGTGCGTTAGTCCAGCTCCCACTTGTGGGCAGCGGTAGTGTAGCGGTTAACACGCGGTGCTGCAAACCCAGGTACCCAAGTTCGATTCCTGCTCCCGGCTATCAACAGTGACGATTATCTGAATCTATCCTGGGCTTCCCCTAAGTCGACTCAGCCTTAAATTAGTATCTGGTAAGGTGTGTAAACATCAGCACTGGGGCGTGGTGCTGGCCACCCAACCGCCTCGTGTGCCGTGCTGGCCTTCATTAGGTGCTTGCTAGCAGCACTTGCCCAAAAAGTCTGTTAAGGCTAGACGGGGGGGTCTTGTTTTATATATAAACTCGTGTGCGAGGGTTTTGCATGACAGGCGACAGCGTGTTTCTTTGGTATGTCTGGGGCACTCTCCTCACCATTCTCGTTGGTTTTCAGTAGCTGTTTACTTTCCTCCAACTTCTCCACTGTCGCCTCTAACTGCTCGCTCAGTTTTGCAGCCTAATCACAAGCGCACATGCACACACACGAACAGGGGTAATAACAACAATCACACAATCATGGAGGAGGTTGTCATCAACATATCATGCCCATCGACCCTCAGCACAAACATCCATAAGCTCATGAGCATCTATTTCCCTCGTGCTGCCCTAATGGTGATGCCTCAAGTGCTACCTTGATAATATCCTAGTGTGAAGCCACTGTCACCCCCTCTTATGCCAAAACTCCCCATTGTAAGGCCCCCTTTGATCCTTCAGTGCCTAAAAATGTCCCAACTACTGCCACCACCCTGTGCCACTCATTGCTCAGGGCTATGCTAAACTGGCTCAATGGTAACAGCAATGCCCAATCCATTGTGCTTCTTATTCCTCTTGCTTATGGCAGAATGACTAGCAAATTAATTAAAATTTTAAAACCACGTGATGGCTTTAGATGAAGCTGCATGAGTTGTTGCTGCATTTCTGCTGAATGTAGTAGATTCGGAATGTGCCCTACACTTTGGTCAGCATCCCTAGTGCTTCCACCTCCATGCCCCCCACTCCCACAAAACTACCCACCCGCCCCACGGTTGCACCTGCTCCTCTTTGTTGCACAGCGCGATACGCAGCTCAGCGGTTTCCTGGCGCTCGCGCTGGAGGCCGGCATCACGCTCCGCCAACAGCTTCTCCTGCTGTGTGGTGACAGCGTTCTTGAGGCGCACTTTGCCCGCCTGGGCCTTCAGTTCGGCCTGTAAACGCTTGATGATGTCATTTGCCTGGGGGAAGGGGATGAGTGAGCGGTGAGCGAACAAGTGGGCAAGTGAGTGAGTGAGTGATTGATTGAATGAGTGGGTGTGTGAACAGATGAGTGAGCGGGCGAGTCAGTGAACAGGGAGCACATGGGATGTGATGTCGTCATAGACTGCAACATGATGCACATTAGCTGGCTTGTCAACCGTTTTTATCATTGTATTTCTACACAAATTACATACCAACCCTTTTACAGAGCAATGTGGGCAGATGGGGTGAAAAAAATTTGGATAAGAGAGGGGAGACAGAAGCAGAGGGTCAGGAAGGTACCTTGAGCAGCTCCTCGGAGAGCGATTTGATGGTCGTCTCAAGCTTTCCCCCCTGCGTCTGCTTCTCATCCAAACTCTCCTCCAGCTTTTTCTGAGCATCACACAACAACGTGTTTAGTACAAACCTTCCCTCTGTCTATCGTATGAGAGGCTTGTTACACAAAATATTGAGGGCTCCTCTGGGACAAGTTGCTATATCATGTAAACTGTGTATATTCTAAGATAACAAAGGATTGTGGATGGTTAGGCCTTCATCCAGCAGTGGATCAATCATGGCTGATTATGGTAATGCTGACCCATGCTAGCTTATTTTAAAAACTTTACAATCCACTTTATTGGATACACTTACCCTTGCTATAGAAATGTGTAATTCCCACCATTAGCTCAGGGCTGATTGTGGAAATGTTCATCTGGGCAGATATTTTTGCAGCAAATCATTTTGAATATTTAAAAGGAAATGTCAGTAGAAGGACCCACTCACACTTTTACACTCGCACATTCACTAGAGGACAATGGGAGAACATATAGGCATACCTCTTATAGTGCTGCCTCCTATAACGCTATTTCCTTCAACGCTTTGGCCTGGAGGAAAATTCCTGTGCGGATCAACCCATGTATGGAATAAAGTAGACGTGCCGTTGCCTGTAGGGGCATGTCTTTGCCCATATGTGGTCTTGTGGAACCTAAATCGGTGTCTATTTTAAATTCTGCTCATAGTCGATCCGAAAGCCACGCTAGAGTATCCATTCATCGAGTGTTAATCACTGCATCGATTAACTGGCGATCCATGGATCTAGTAATCCCATTGGTTAGTACTGTATAGCTTCCCGCAGAACGTGTGTTTACGGCAGATGGTAGTTAATCTTAAGCAAGCTCCGATAGAATGCACTGGCGAGTACAGAACTTATTGAATGTTTTTCATGTAATCATGAAAAGTTTTTATTTTTATTTATAAAATGCTGTAATATATCATGTATACAGTATTCTTTGGGTCTTTCGGTAAAGATAGGTTCAAAGAAAATAAAAAAGAGAGCAAAGCTGCTGAGGCAAAACAGTCTGCCTCAGCAGCTTTCCTCTCTTTTTTCCTCCTGATGACGAACGCTTGTGTTGCAATCGAAACGTCGTAGTTTTTTTTTTAACCTATCTACGTGACTTTACCGAAAGACCCAAAGAATATAGTATCATTAAGGTTATTACTGATATTGTATTACCCTCATATCGCTCATAGGTAAAAAATTAGCGAACGGAAACATCTCCATTTGAACAATGTTATAATGACCTCCCATAGTGCTCAGTTTACCAAGATTCGCATCCTGAGTGCTATAGGAGGTATACCTGTACAACCAAATTCCACACAGAAAGGCACCCAAGTCGGGAATTGAATCCAAGACATCTTGCTGCATCATCCTGCCGTGTATAGGTAGAGTGGGTGAGGCGCCACCTGCTGCTGCCGCGTGGTGTCGAGCGCTTGCCCCATGCGTTGCACGAGCTGCTCTTTGTCTCTCGCCTCCTGCTCGAGTGAGCTCACACGTGAGCGCAGGGCCACCAACGCTGCATCGGCATCACGACGCTCAGACTCATGTGCGCCAGACTCACGGCGCAGCGACGCTGCCTCCTGCTGAACCCGAGCACTCTCCTGCATCGGCAAAAATAAGGAAAATGGGACAGCGTTGTCATTGTCATGGCTGCCACCAGCAACACATGGGTGAGGGTCTAGGCTGTGACTAGAGACTCTGACAAGTGGGTTTCCAAGTTTCAAGCGTATTTTCATTCAAACAGGTGGAGGAGTATAATGGGGAAGTGGCGTCACATGTGCTGTCCAGTGCAATGACGTCACGAGACGTGACGTCATGCGCTCGGGGCAGCAGAATGACTTCAGGCTCAAGTATAAAGGGGGGACCCCGTGACGTAAGCGGGGTCGTAGCTGGAGAGTAGGGTCCGAGAAGGGTGGAACGGGGAGCCAGGGGCAAGAGGGTAGGGATAGGGGAGAGCACAGTGCCAGGCTAGACGTGGCTGTGCTCCTCGGTCGGCCGTGTTGGCTGATCCCACGGCCGGCGCACAGGAGACCGCACAAGGCAGCCGGCTGTGTCGGGACCCAGCCCGGGACCCCTAATTCCCTTGGGAAGTTGTTCACCCCCGTGTACTGTTAAGATCTGTAATAAACCTAAGGCGAAAGCCCTTAACTTACCTCAGCTTCCGAGTGAGTCGTCGGGAACTTCTCAACACAGGTAAGAACTCAAGAGACCAGGATAGTCTCATTTGCAAGAGTGACCCGAGTCACCAAAATGAGAATGTGTCTCGAAAGGTCCACTTATCAACCCCTTGTCCCCCATGCCCTCCCCGTGTTCACCTCCTCGAGGGCACCGATCCTGGTGCGTGCATCCCTGAGTGCCGTGTCAGCTGCTCGGTGCCGCTCGGCAGCGTCCCGTGCAGAGGCCTCAGCCTGCGACGTCCGCTGCTGCAGCTGCGAGCGTAAGCGCCGCTGCTCGGCTTCCAGTTCGCGTCGCTCCTCCTCGTGCCGGCGCCGGCCCTCCTCCTCCACCTAGCAATGAGAGGTGGTGAAGGTGGGGGTGCCACTTCAGTTACTTTGTTAATCAGGACGTTGGATGAGTAGGTGGGCAGAAGCAAGGAGGTAGGCAGGGAGGTAGACACATGCAGAGGCATACAGGCATATGAGCAAAATTATACAGGTGTAGAGAATCCACCAGACGAAGATTGAGAGTCGGCACTTTTCTTTATTCCGTGCGGGGCCACGCCGCACGCGTCAATCCTCCTCCGTTCCCCTCCAAGAAGCGCCCCGTTACCTCTCACCCCCTTTCCTCGTGACATCATCCTGACACTGTACCCTTGGATCACGCGAGTATTTCGACCCTTGGATCGAGTATCAGCACTACACAGGCAGAGGCAGGAACATGGGGAGAGGCAAGGGGATGTAGGGTGCTGCCCGGGACTCACCTGCTGAAATTTGTCTCTCTGTGTGGCAATCTCGCGTCCATGCTGCGAGGAGATCTCGCTCATTTGGCTCGACCACTCAGCTCGCACGCGCTCCAGCTCACGGCTCCGCTCTGCCAGGGTCTATGTGCACAGCGACATACAAAAACAACCGCCATTTTTCCATTAAGTTGCAGTGATGTCAACACAGCACTTGTGCCAAGCTTGGTGTACTTTGAGGCCACGTCAAGTGTCGAAGCTTCGCTGACAGGGGTCATGGGGCAGACACAGGTGTCATGTGTTGATTAACTTGGATGACTAGAGGATGTACCACCTGTGCTTCCCACTGTGCCACTTTGTTTCAGCCACTTGGTGCTCCGCTCGTTGCGGGTTGAAACATTTCTTACAAATAAAACAACTAGGATTACACATAGCAACATTGTCCTCTTCTTCGAAAACTTTGCAGGAAACTCCTGATAAAGTCGTAATAATATAATCAGTGAGGCAATTATGAGTAACAAACGTGAATAGTCAATACATGAAAACGCAAATGTTTTGTTCGAAATAGCATAAACACATTGGCAAGCAACTATTTATTGAAAGGCAATATACCCTCACACATATATAACTCACTTGCTGGGCATAGGCGAGTCTCTTTGTTAGGTCCTCTTCGGTTTTCTGTAACCTGGTCTCCAGCGCAGCATTCTCATTCTTAACAATAAATAATTAAAACTTTTAAAAGGCAACAAAGCACGTTAAAATAATTATTCTTACAATGTTTCACTGGAAACCCTAGTTGAAACATCTTATTTGCAAGGGTGTCTACCGTGTCAATTTCCACATACTTAATAAACGTAATTGCGAGTATACACCTATACTTACAACAAAAACCGACTATTATCAGACTGCTGGGGCACGTGCTGTTCGTGAGCACCTATTAAGACTAGCACAGCACACGAGGGGGTGGTGTGGCCAGACAACACTTGGCCACCTTTGTATCCCAATGCTGATGTTCACACACCACACCAGGTACTCATTTAAGGCTGAGTCAACCTCGGGAAGGTTAAAAAACGATTCACATATTCGTCACCGATGTGAGGTGAGGTGGAATCAAACTCGGGTTGGACAAAACGGCCTACTTGTCACAAAGTCCGTTACGTAGTGTGCCAACCACTATGCTATCACTCCCAATGTACACATATACACATTCTCACTTGCTCAAATAGACCCACATCCTCACCTACACTCATAAACAAAAGCCAAGATCTCCCATGTAGCTTACACACTGTTCGGGCAAGTGCTGTTAACAAACACTTATGAAGGCCAACACGGTAGAAGGGGGTGCCGTGTCAGTGAACTATTCGTCAATACATTTGACCTAGCATGTAAACACACTTTACAGTGCTTTATCAACTGGTAAAAAAAAAAACTGACGCTCACTCAGTCGACGTACCGATGCAGCTTGTAAAACCACCACAAAGCGCTGTATGAACTGGTAAATAAATCACTGAAGCTTGCTCAGTGGATGTACCTATCCAGCTTAAAACCACCAGGGTACTTTATCTCCTACACAGAGTGCTGTGAATACTGTATGTCCAAAAACACTGAGGTTCTCTCAATGGACATACCCACTCGGCTTATAAAACCACCAAGTGGCCTGACTGTAGCAACGAGGCTTGGCCAGTGAAAGGGTTTGCCCAGCTTGCAGACAACTCACCTTGAGGCTGCGCAGGCAGGAAGCCAGGTACTTTTTAAGATCGCCGTCGGAGGCGGAGAGCAAACATAGAGAGAGGTGCGTCAAGTGCTTGAAAGGGTTCGTCTCCACCACTGAGAGGTAGGCGGTGCTGCCACGGTCTGCTGCACCTGGACATTGCAGCTGCAGCAGGAACCTGTGTGAATGTGAACACACACATACGTGAGCACACTGACTCAGATGCACGCACCTCCCAGAAAATCACAGCCACTGGTGTCACGACCAGCACCACTGCATTCACCACTGCTGCCTCCGTAATGTCACCAGCGTAGCACATCCACATGCACCACAACGGTTTGTCAACGCTTTCACAAGTACTACTACCAGCAGCAACACCATGACCAGCATTGCTACATCCACCACTGCTGCTAGTGATTTGTCAGCACCACCCGCTGGCATTACCACCACCATCCAGATTTCCTGGGTAAACATGCATACTAAAAAATAAAAAAATCCACCATTTACCATGATGACCACTGCCATCTCTACCACCGTGAGCACAACTACCACGAGCTGTAGCATCGTTCAACACCACCACCACCACCACGTAACCATCAGTAACACCAGCAACATCATATACTACCACCACCCACCATCAACACAATATGCCATCATGACCACATACCGAGGCACATCTTTGTCCTGTTCCTGGATGCAGAGTTGCAGGAGGTCGATGAACTTCTGCGGGAAGGATGTGAAGTCCACTAGCAGGCCCTGCTGACTCTTAAGGCTTCACACATGCCCGCACGGATATACGCATACATACAAAACCCAGCATCACACCATGCAGCGGTTTGGAGGCACTTTTCTGTGAGAAGTCACCTAACTCATCTGTAGTACAACATTTTGCAGGCGAGGGTTAGTGGATCACATTTTGTGAAACTCACTTCTTTTCGATGGCAATACAACAGGTGGGTTAATTTCCATCTGTACGGAGATTGAGTGTTACCCCCCCCCCCCACACGCATGGGTTTCCTCCAAGGCATATAAACATTACTTTATGGAGTTGGCCAAACATCCTAATATAGGACCACAGAGCTTGGATATTTATTGGCACTGGATCTGGTTGTCTTCTAACTTGTCTGTGGTTTCCAGAGCCTCTGTGCAAAACACGTGCGAATTACAAAGTCTATAAACCCCACACACGCAAGGAGAATAAAAATGTAGTATACTATACAGAAATGGCGGCAACCTGCTTTTTGTCCTGCACACTAATGGTCACCACGTCCTTTCCGTGCATGCCCAGGGACCAGCCACTGTCAAATTTACTGTTGATGTCATTAGAATTTGCATCCCTTTGTCAATCTATTGTTGGATGGAGGGGTTATTTGACCATATTTCACCACGAAATAAATTACTTGATTATGCTGCGCTGACAGTGGTACACAAGCACAACAAATAAAACATTACACTTTTCAACAACACTTCCTGAAAATAAATATACATACTTTTTTCAAGCAGTATTGTTGACGAATGCATTGAGTTTTATTCTTATACTTCACCACGCTGGTCAGCCACAGTCGGGTGCAATGAATGCCTGCTCATCTAAAAACTGAGTGAACTGTGCATCACTGAGCAAAGTTGTGGTTGTGTGGGCAGGTTCATAAGGGCAAGGATTGGGGCTATTTGTGACCAAGCTGTCGCTTAGCAACTGCAGTGAACTGCCAACACGCAATGGGCAAAAATAGACACCAAAATAATAAAGCACACAGACTACTCCTACCCCACTTTTTTAACAACCTTGTTTCTTCCCTTAACATCGTAAATCTTCCTTAAAAAAATATCCTGAAGCAGAAGATTAGTGCTGGATCCAACTGCATTTGAAAAGTATTATTTATAGCTTTCATCCTTACCCATGTATTGACATTTTAATTATGTGCAATTTCATCGAGAAACTGTATGATGTCATCATGTGGTCTGGGACTGTTTTTGCTGTTCTATTGCTGCCTTGCCCAAGTTTGGGAATTGGTGTAATTATGTAATATGAACTTATGTACTTTATCTAATTTATTTCTAGTGATTTGCTTACCTTTCCTATACTTTGCACTCCTACAGTTTTTTTGTATCGTATCTTGTAAATTGTTGACCTACAACTACTGGACATCTGTGAAAAAAAGCTTCATATCTAATCGGAATTATCCAGGATAAATATAGATTCTGATTTTGGATTAAATTTCAAGTTGATTTTGTGAAACCAGATGAGAACTCAAGAGACCAGGATAGTCGAATTTGCAAGATGGACCTGGATGGCCAAAATTACCAAATAAATAATTATATTTTAAAGAAAACTTTTTTTAAAAACACGCTTTTATGAAATGTGCTAGTAATGGCAGAACTCCACGTCTCCAGGAAGTGGCCCCGAAGCTTGCCATAACGTAAGGGACCGTGGCCAATTATAGCCAACGTCAGTTGACCGTGGACAATTAGAGCCAAGCCGAAACATAACATATAAAAAATGTTTTAAATTATGTTTTTTTTATGATAAAATATAGTATTGTCATCAGTATGACATAAGTATACCAAGATTGCAGTCGATACCACATTGGGAAGTGGGTTAAAATTGAGTTACAATATTTGAGGATACAACAAGAAGAGTTAAAAGAAAGCGTGTAATAACATAGCATAAAGTATCGCAATGAACAAATAGAAACCAGAGCAACAAACAGAGGATAGGGGTGAGGAGTCAAGGGATAGGGGTGAGGGATCAGGTGAGGAGAGTGTGTGGTGAGGTACCTCTGGAAGTCTTCATCTCCAAGGTTGAGGCTATAGAGGAAGAAGGGGTCCGTGTCATCTGTTAGCCTCACTGTGAGATCCTGTGAGGGTGCAGGTCACAACCGCATCAGGTCACAAGCAATGCATGACACGAAATATTTCACATTTTTGTTAAACAGCATCCTCGATTTAAGCTGCCAGATTCAGGGGAGACCTGGTGCACTGTAATTATAAAGGCACAGATATCTTATGAATAAATTAAGTTTTTACGGAATAATCTCTTCTGCAAGGTGGCTCAATGGTAGATCGAGCAGCTTAAAACCAGAAAGTTATGAGTCCACAGCCTGGCTGGGGGTTGACTCAGCCCATCATCCCTCTGGGGTTAATAACATGAGTTGCAGTCCAGATCATGTGAGGACATTGCTTTGAGTTAACTATTTTATAAAGGGGATAACTTCAGGATTCAGAATTGGAGATACCCTCTTAAATAGAAGATGCAAGGTCCCAAGGGGAGACACTACCTTTCACAGAAGATAATCTATTTATAGGGGAAACCCATACAGGGGGAAGATTCATAACACAGAGTATACCGTTTATACCGTTTATTCGACAAGACCAGTGGTTCCCAAACTTTCTGAACTGACGGACAATATAAACCCTAAAATATGTTTAGCTGACCACCGTGCACCAATTAACTTGTTTCAAAATGATCACTCTGTCACTGTAAATGTTTATTGACAGGCCATCAAAACAGGCCTTTGTGGACCAGAGGGTGTGAAGTCACATTGGACTAAAGGATAAGGTACAGGCCTCCTATGCCAGGGTTTATGGGTTTGAGTCCTCCCTTGGGTAATTGAAACGTTCACTTGGCAGTTGTATTTAACAGACAGGTATCCTTGTCTGTTTACATACTAGTGTAATAATCACCCTTTTTTTCATTTTTATATTTCTATAACTTAATTTGACTATGGTTTTTCAAAGTAGTTTGTCCACAAATTTTTGTGGCAGAAAATGTATGCTCTGCTGATTTATATTTTGTTCTGATTTAATTAGGTTGTTTTTGGTTTGATTGTCACTTGCAAATTAGACGATCCATGACCTTTGAAATCTCAACCTGTTAAACAAAATAAACTTAATCAGGATCTTTATTCAGACTGGAGGAAGAAGAGCTATTAAGCTCTTCTTCACAGATGTCCAGTAGGGGCTGGTCAGCATGTTACAGCAAACAGTACAAAAAAAACGAACCACGATTCTAGCCACAGAGGCTGAACTCAAGTCCAGATCCCCTACCCACCTTCTTGAGGATCGGGCTGGCAACGGATTGCAGCTCAACTGTTACTCTGATGTCTGTTCTCCTAAATCGCACATGCACCCATGTGAACATAAAGCAAATGACACAAATGCACATGACAGAGCGAAAGTTACACAATAGATATACACGATACACACAAAATGCAGGAGATAAAACAGACATTATACACACACAAAACATGAATCACCAACACGCGTGATATACACATGACACACACACTTGTACAAATGATAAACGTACATATAGACACAGGTGGACACACACAACCATAAATTAATTGCACGGGTGCACACATTCAACATGTACTCCTTAAATACACAACCTGAAGGCGGCAGCTCCCCAGCTTGTATTTAAGGTCGATAGCCATGACTGGCGGCAAAACAGCACTCCTAAACCACTTGGACAACAACTTTGACTGTTCTTAAAAAGCAGTAAAAGCTTACTATGTTTACACGAGGAAATTAAGCAAACCTATAATTGAACCTTTATTACACCATCACCATCATTAGCCACACTCAATCCACTGCTGGACGAATGCCTCCTCTGGCTGTCGCCATCTCCACGGTCCTGCCAGGTGGTTCAGCGTTGGGGGTTGACTCAGCCCATTATCACTTTAGGGTCGATAAAATATATATTACTTCAAACAGAGGTTGTCCTATGGCTAGCTTTGACCCTGCTATCACACCTGGTTCAGAGCTGTAAACAAATCTTCTCCATCCAAGATGGTGCAGAATAATGGACCATCAGGAGTGGTTGTGGATCATGATTTGGTGGTAGGGCGTGGTACAGCGGTGTCTGCTGGGTGTTTTATTTGCACCGCTCACCGTCCACACGGTTGACGAGGCTACATTTTAACTTGAGACCCCAGTGATAAGAATCAATCAAATCTACACATGCCGGACGTGGGCCGTGAATGCAACACCAAACAGACAACAATGTTGTCCCACAAACGTAAGTACTCTAATGCTGCCAATGATGGCAAGGTGCTCCTAACTCCCTTTCCCCTGTTCAAGTCCAGGCTGAAGACGTTATACTCTTCTCCTCTGCCTTTGACTAACTTCTTATTTAGATAAAATACATATGTTCAGTGTTTCTGTGCAGTCTTGAGATGCGGTCGCATTGTTATTATATTAATCAACATAACATCATAGAATCACAAACGGCCTCAGGTATATATTCAGAGATCCAAAGACTCACAATCTTCTGCACTTAAATATAAACCATAAAATATAAATCAGAAAATATATCAACTACAAAAATGACATCATCAATGGCATGTTAATATTAAGAACAAATAAGGGAAACTTTTCCTAACATTATTATACTGTAGTAACTCTATCAGCTAAGAACGGATGCGTCAGATACAGGCTGACATCATTACACTGATATTACAAAAACAAACGAATGGCAATAACAATGGAACCAAGACCAATAATTACTTCTAAATTTACCTCAGTTAAAAGTAAAAAAAAACTTGTCCTCTGCCTAATGAGTTTTCGCAGTAATTTTCAGGTCATTTTGCAGCATTGGGTTGTTTGGACAATACCAGTTACATTGTTTTTTAGATATTGGAGGAAACCGGATAATTTAGATGACACCCATGCAGAACAGGGGGAGAACAGACAAACTAAAAAACAGCCGCCATTCGTCATGAAGTGATGGTGACGTGATCACGGCGCCTGTGCCAGGCCAGGTGCACTTTGGGGCCACGGCAGGTGTCGAAGGGTAGCGAACAGGTCACCGGACAGACCCAAGGTGTCATGGGTTGACTAAGATGACAGGCACCGTACGTAACCAACTGTGCAATTCGGAGGTGCGGGGGGAGGACAACTAAACGCAGGTGCACCACCTGTGCCCCCTACTGTGCCAATTCGCTGTGAGCGTCGCCCCCCCCCCCACTGTTGATGGAGGGCGACTGCCTCCAACCGCCAAGTAGCGACGTCCTTCACGAGCCTCCTCCATAGAGGCCGATCTTGACAACGCTGGTATCGGCAAGCCCACTCAGCTCCATGTCTCGCAAGCGTAGAAAAGCGAGTGTCCAACTGTTGCCGAGGAAATCCAAAACTTTGTAAGGAGCGACAGGCCAGGTAGCTTAAACGCAGAGTTACGCAGCCGATGCCAAGCCAGACATCGGCAAGTTCACTCAGTTCCGTTTAATAAATCCCACCCGCATCATGCACACCTGGGGGGGAGAACACACAAACTTATTCTTGCTGAGATGCGCGAGTGTTGCCCTGCGCCACCATGCCGCCCGTTTGCGCTTTGAAACCGTTGAAAATCGACTGTCGGACATTCTTCCCCCTCCTCCTTACCTGTCGTCGCAGTCCTTGGCCCTCAACAGGAGCGACACGGCGCTGCAGAACAGACGCCGCTGCTGCTGATCCTGCGCCGCCATCACGGTCGCCGCGTCTCGCGCTCAACTTTCCCGCCCTCGGCGCGCGCCGCCAGTGAACCGGCGAGGATCGAATCCGCAAGTCAGAGATTGGCGATTCCACACGATGTCGTGCTCGGGTGGGAATCTATAGATCCGGCTTGGCAGTGGGAATCGATTCGACTTTTTGATTACGTCATCGTATGTCGTTTCATGGTGACAATTGTCTGCGGCGTATTGCCGACGTCATGTAACGCACTGAGTGAACTTCGCGTTTTCCCGATCACTTTTCATACCCACAATCGTCGCAGGTGTTGCACTGTACACATTTGTCGCCAATTCCCAAATGAACGCACGATGCATTTTTCGATTTAAAGCTTTCGTGACTGCAGGGATTCATCTTGGTTCTTTCGGTAAAGTCACGTATAAGGAAAATAATAAAATAAAACATTTTTTCTTACCTATAAATGTCTCCGCGCGCGCGCTTGCGAGAGATTTGGCTCTAGGATGGTGGGGTTTATATAGAATAAAAACTGCCGGCCGGCCGGCACTCCCAAAGCCCCGCGGTGGGAATAGGCTATTCCTTTTTCACGTCCGTCACCTTTAAATTAGTTAAAGTAACGATTTAGTGGGGTTTTGCTATTTTTATTTATTTATTGCGCTACATCGACCGTACCAACTCACGCTAATTGGGGGGGGGGGGGGGGGGGGGGGGGGGGGGGGGGGGGGGGGGACCTTGCCTAGTGGTGCGCGTTCGGTCCAGCTCAAGGCCTCACCTCGCCACTCTCTCACGTGAGTACTTTCTGCTATAGAATCACTATATATTGCTATAGAGTCAGCATGTACTACTGTAGAGTCGATATATTGCTATAGAATCAGCATGTACTACTGTAGAGTCGATGTATTGCTATAGAATCAGCATGTACTACTGTAGAGTCGATATATTGCTATAGACTCAGCATGTACTACTGTAGAGTCGATATACTGATATAGAATCAGCATGCACTACTGTAGAGTCGATATATACTGCTATAGAGTCAGCATGTACTACTGTACACTCGATATTTACTGCTATAGAGTCAGCATGCGGGCTCTTTAATCCACTTCACGTGACGCTTTAATCCACCATGCGGGGCTCTTTAATCCACTACATGTGACGCTTTAATCCACCATGCGGGGCCCTTTCATCCACTACACGCGACGCTTTAATCCACCATGCGGGGCTCTTTAATCCACTACACGTGACGATTTAATCCACCATGCGGGCCTCTTTAATCCACTACACGTGACGCTTGAATCCACCATGCGGGCCTCTTTAATCCACTACACGTGACGCTTGAATCCACCATGCGGGCTTTTTAATCCACTACACGTGACGCTTTAATCCACCATGCGGGGCTCTTTAATCCACTACACGTGACGCTTTAATCCACCATGCGGGGCTCTTTAATCCACTACACGTGACGCTTTAATCCACCATGCGGGGCTCTTAATCCACTACACGTGACGCTTTAATTCACCATGCGGGGCTCTTTAATCCACTACACGTGACGCTTTAATCCACCGTGCCGGGATCTTTAATCCACTACACGTGACGCTTTAATCCACCATGCGGGCTCTTTAATCCACGCTTTAATCCACCATGCGGGGCGCTTTAATCCACTACACGTGACGCTTTAATCCACCATGCGGGGCTCTTTTATCCCCCTACATGCAGGTATTTAATCCAAAAGACGTAGCTGTTTAATCCACCACACGTGAAACTTTGATCCACCACATGTGGCTATTTAATCCACCACATGGGACATTTTTATCCACTGCACGTGGCTCTTTAATTCACCGCACGCAGCCCTTTAATCTGTAGTGCCGTGAATTCACTCGGACGACAACCGTCTCTTTTCCACCGTCACTTTTATTCCATCGTTCCGTACACACAGTAATTCTCCTCTTCGCGCTCCGCTAACTAGGACACGCCGATTCACTTCGGCATCGTCCATGCTTCCCCTTCCACACACAGTGGTTCTTCTTCTGTCTCCTCACACACAGTATCCTGTCTGTCTATTCACACAGTGACTATCTATCTATTCACACAGTGACTCTATTCACACACAGTGACTATCTCCGCTAACGCTAACTCTCCCTATCGCTATTTACTGTCTTTGGGGTTCGGCTCTCTATTCTTCCCTAACATTGTCAGCTGTCCTCTTCGTATCTCTCCACCTCTCACCAACAATTGCCCAGCAACAACTCTCTCTCAGTTCAAATCACCCCGCGTTTTATCCCCTCTCGCATTAGCCTTAATTAATTGCCACGTGGCTCGCTGGCCGTTTCTCGCCAGCTCGCACCTGTCCCCGACGACAGACTTCGAGACGCCACCACTTAACACTAACAGCCTCTCGACCAATCACAGCCCTCGTGCCACGACTCCCTTAATTACTTCAGGTTGTTTACGCCCCCCGTGACTCGACCACCTGTTCGACCTCATGTGACCCGTTCTCCTTGTCTGTATGTACTGTATGTGGCCAATTCCTATGCGTATCGTTTACTCCACTACAAATCTACCAGACGCAGCTCGTTAATCAATCACATGCAACTCTAATCCACCTCATGTGGCTATTTAATCCACCTCATGGGGCTTTCTAAAACAACACATGCGACACTTTAATCCACCGCACGTGGCTAATTAATCCACCAGACGCGGCTCTTTACTTGACAAAACACAACTCTTTAATCCACCACACACGACTTTTTAATCCACCACACACGACTTTTTAATACATTACTCAGAGCTCTTTAATCCACCACACGGGGCTCTACAATCCACCATTGCTGGGCTCTTCATTCCACTGGACAATACTCTTGAATCCACCACATGCAGGGACTTTTTAATCCACCATACGGGGCTCTTTAATCCACTACACGTGACGCTTTATACCACCATGCGGGCTCTTTAATCCACTATGCGTGACGCTTTAATCCACCATGCGGAGCGCTTTAATCCACTCCACGTGACGCTTTAATCCACCATGCGGCCTCTTTAATCCACTACACGTGACGCTTTAATCCACCATGCGGGGCGCTTTAATCCACTTCACGTGACGCTTTAGTCCACCATGCGGGGCTCTTTAATCCACTACATGTGACGCTTTAATCCACCATGCGGGCTCTTTAATCCACTACATGTGACGCTTTAATCCACCATGTGGGGCTCTTTAATCCACTACACGTGACGCTTTAATCCACGATATGGGTTCTTTAATCCACTGCACCTGACACTTTAATCCACCATGCGGGGCTCTTTAATCCACCACACGTGACGCTTTATTCCACCATGCGGGCTCTTTAATCCACTACATGTGACGCTTTAATCCACCATGTGGGGCTCTTTAATCCACTACACGTGACGCTTTAGTCCACCATGCGGGGCTCATTAATCCACTACACTTGACGCTTTAGTCCACCATGCGGGGCTCTTTAATCCACTACACGTGACGCTTTAATCCACCATGCGGGCTCTTTAATCCACTACATGTGACGATTTAATCCACCATGTGGGGCTCTTTAATCCACTACACGTGACGCTTTAGTCCACCATGCGGGGCTCTTTAATCCACTACACGTGACGCTTTAGTCTACCACGCGGGGCTCTTTAATCCAATACACGTGACGCTTTAATCCACCATGCGGGTTCTTTAATCCACTACACGTAACGCTTTAATCCACCATACGTGGCTCTTTAATCCACTACATGGGACGCTTTAATCCACCATGCGGGGCTATTTAATCCACTACACATGACGCTTTAATCCACCATGCGGGTTCTTTAATCCACTACACGTGACGCTTTTTTATTCCACCATGCAGGGCTCTTTAATCCACTACATGTGATGCTTTAATCCACCATGCGGGTTCTTTAATCCACTACACGTGACGCTTTTATCCACCATGCGGGTTCTTTAATCCACTACACGTGACGCTTTAATCCACCATGCGGGCTCTTAAATCCACTACATGTGACGCTTTAATCCACCATGTGAGGCTCTTTAATCCACTACACGTGACGCTTTAATCCACCATGCGGGCTCTTTAATCCACTGCACGTGACACTTTAATCCACCATGCGCGGCTCTTTAATCCACTACACGTGACGCTTTAATCCACCATGCGGGGTCTTTAATCCACTACATGTGAAGCTTTAATCCACCATGTGGGCTCTTTAATCCACTACACATGACGCTTTAATCCACCATGCGGGCTCTTTAATCCACTGCACGTGACACTCTAATCCACCATGCGGGGCTCTTTAATCCACTACACGTGGCGCTTTAATCCACCATGCAGGCTCTTTAATCCACTACATGTGATGCTTTAATCCATCATGTGGGGCTCTTTAATCCACTACACGTGACGCCGACCACCCCGACCACCCCGAGCCACCCCGAGCCACCCCGAGCCACCCCGGCCACCCCGAGCCACCCCGGCAACCCCGAGCCACCCCGGCCACCCCGAGCCACCCCGGCCACCCTGAGCCAGCCCGGCCACCCCGAGCCACCCCGGCCACCCCGAGCCACCCCGGCCAACCCGAGCCACCCCGGCCACCCCGAGCCAGCCCGGCCACCCCGAGCCACCCCGGCCACCCCGAGCCACCCCGGCCACGCCGAGCCACCCCGGCCACCCCGTGCCACCCTGGCCACCCCGAGCCACCCCGGCCACCACGAGCCACCCCGGCCACCCCGAGCCACCCCGGCCACCCCGAGCCACCCCGGCCACCCCGAGCCACCCCGGCCACCCCGAGCCATCCGGCCACCCCGAGCCACCCCGGCCACCCCGAGCCACCCCGGCCACCCCGAGCCACCCCGGCCAACCCGATCCACCCCGGCCACCCCGAGCCACCCCGGCCAGCCCTAGCCACCCCGGCCACCCCGAGCCACCCCGGCCACCCCGAGCCACCCCGGCCACTCCGAGCCACCCCGGCCAACCCGAGCCACCCAGGGCACCCCGAGCCACCCCAGCCACCCCGAGCCACCCCGGCCACCCCGGCCACCCCGGCCACCCCGAGTCACCCCGAGTCACCCCGAGCCACCCCGGCCACCCCGAGCCACCCCGGCAACCCCGAGCCACCCCGGCCACCCCGAGCCACCCCGGCCACCCCGAGCCACCCCGGCCACCCCGAGCCAGCCCGGCCACCCCGAGCCACCCCGGCCACCCCGAGCCACCCCGGCCACCCCGAGCCACCCCGGCCACCCCGAGCCACCCTGGCCACCCCGAGCCACCCCGGCCACCACGAGCCACCCCGGCCACCCCGAGCCACCCCGGCCACCCCGAGCCACCCCGGCCACCCCGAGCCACCCCGGCCACCCCGAGCCACCCGGCCACCCCGAGCCACCCCGGCCACCCCGAGCCACCCCGGCCACCCCGAGCCACCCCGGCCAACCCGAGCCACCCAGGGCACCCCGAGCCACCCCGGCCACCCCGAGCCACCCCGGCCACCCCGGCCACCCCGGCCACCCCGAGTCACCCCGAGTCACCCCGAGCCACCCCGGCAACCCCGAGGCACCCCGGCCACCCCGAGGCACCCCGGCCACCCCGAGGCCCCCAGGCCACCCCGGCCACCCCGGCCACCCCGGCCACCCCGAGTCACCCCGAGCCACCCCGGCCACCCCGAGCCACCCCGGCCACCCCGAGCCACCCCGGCGACCCCGAGCCACCCCGGCCACCCCGAGCCACCCCGGCCACCCTGAGCCACCCCGGCCACCCCGAGCCACCCCGGCCACCCCGAGCCACCCCGGCCACCCCGAGCCACCCCGGCCACCCCGAGTCACCCCTAGTCACCCCGAGTCACCCCGGCCACCCCGAGTCACCCCGGCCACCCCGAGTCACCCCGGCCACCCCGGCCACCCCGAGTCACCCCGGCCACCCCGAGTCACCCCGGCCACCCCGAGTCACCCCGGCCACCCCGAGTCACCCCGGCAACCCCGAGGCACCCCGGCCACCCCGAGGTACCCCGGCCACCCCGAGGCACCCCGGCCACCTCGGCCACCCCGGACACCCCGGCCACCACGAGTCACCCCGAGTCACCCCGGCCACCCCGGCCACCCCCAGCCACCCCGGCCACCCCGAGCCACCCCGGCCACCCCGAGCCACCCCGGCCACCCCGAGCCACCCCGGCCACCCCGAGCCACCCCGGCCACCCCGAGCCACCCCGGCCACCCCGAGCCCCCCCCGGCCACCCCGAGCCACCCGGCCACCCGAGCCACCCCGGCCACCCCGAGCCACCCCGGCCACCCCGAGCCACCCCGGCCAACCCGAGCCACCCAGGGCACCCCGAGCCACCCCGGCCACCCCGAGCCACCCCGGCCACCCCGGCCACCCCGGCCACCCCGGCCACCCCGAGTCACCCCGAGTCACCCCGAGCCACCCCGGCAACCCCGAGGGCACCCCGGCCACCCCGAGGCACCCCGGCCACCCCGAGGCACCCTGGCCACCCCGGCCACCCCGGCCACCCCGGCCACCCCGAGTCACCCCGAGCCACCCCGGCCACCCCGAGCCACCCCGGCCACCCCGAGCCACCCCGGCGACCCCGAGCCCCCCCGGCCACCCCGAGCCACCCCGGCCACCCCGAGCCACCCCGGCCACCCCGAGCCACCCCGGCCACCCCGAGCCACCCCGGCCACCCCGAGCCACCCCGGCCACCCCGAGTCACCCCGAGTCACCCCGAGTCACCCCGGCCACCCCGAGTCACCCCGGCCACCCCGAGTCACCCCCGGCCACCCCGGCCACCCCGAGTCACCCCGGCCACCCCGAGTCACCCCGGCCACCCCGAGTCACCCCGGCCACCCCGAGTCACCCCGGCAACCCCGAGGCACCCCGGCCACCCCGAGGTACCCCGGCCACCCCGAGGCACCCCGGCCACCCCGGCCACCCCGGACACCCCGGCCACCACGAGTCACCCCGAGTCACCCCGGCCACCCCGGCCACCCCGAGTCAACCCGGCCACACCGAGCCACCCCGGCCACCCCGAGCCACCCCGGCCACCCCGAGCCACCCCGGCCACCCCGAGCCACCCCGGCCACCCCGAGCCACCCCGGCCACCCCGGCCACCCCGAGTCACCCCGGCCACCCCGGCCACCCCGAGCCACCCCGGCCACCCCGAGCCACCCCGGCCACCCTGAGCCACCCCGGCCACCCCGGGCCACCCCGAGCCCACCTCGGCCACCCCGACCCACCCGGCCACCCCGAGCCCGCCCCGGCCACCCCAAGCCCGCCCCGAGACACCCCGGCCCGCCCCGGGTCAGCCCCGGCCACCCCGAGCCACCCCGGCCACCCCGAGCCACCCCAGCCACCCCGGCCCGCCCCGGGTCAGCCCCGGCCCGCCCCGGGTCAGCCCCGGCCCGCCCCGGGTCAGCCCCGGTCCGCCCCGGGTCAGCCCCGGCCCGCCCCGGGTCAGCCCCGGCCCGCCCCGGGTCAGCCCCGGCCCGCCCCGGGTCAGCCCCGGCCCGCCCCGGGTCAGCCCCGGCCCGCCCCGGGTCAGCCCCGGCCCGCCACGGGTCAGCCCCGGCCCGCCACGGGTCAGCCCCGGCCCGCCACGGGTCAGCCCCGGCCCGCCCCGGGTCAGCCCCGGCCCGCCCCGGGTCAGCCCCGGCCCATGCCCCGGGTCAGCCCCGGCCCGCCCCGGGCCAGCCCCGGCCCGCCCCGGGTCAGCCCCGGCCGCCCCGCGTCAGCCCCGGCCCGCCCCGGGTCAGCCCCGGCCCGCCCCGGGTCAGCCCCGGCCCGCCCCGGGTCAGCCCCGGCCCGCCCCGGGTCAGCCCCGGCCCGCCCCGGGTCAGCCCCGGCCCGCCCCGGGTCAGCCGCGGCCCGCCCCGGGTCAGCCCCGGCCCGCCCCGGGTCAGCCCCGGCCCGCCCCGGGTCAGCCCCGGCCCGCCCCGGGTCAGCCCCGGCCCGCCCCGGGTCAGCCCCGGCCCGCCCCGGGTCAGCCCCGGCCCGCCCCGGGTCAGCCCCGGCCCGCCCCGGGTCAGCCCCGGCCCGCCCCGGGTCAGCCCCGGCCCGCCCCGGGTCAGCCCCGGCCCGCCCCGGGTCAGCCCGGTCAGCCCCGGCCCGCCCCGGGTCAGCCCCGGCCCGCCCCGGGTCAGCCCCGGCCCGCCCCGGGCCAGCCCCGGCCCGCCCCGGGCCAGCCCCGGCCCGCCCCGGGCCAGCCCCTGCCCGCCCCGGGTCACCCCCGGCCCGCCCCGGGTCAGCCCCGGCCCGCCCCGGGTCAGCCCCGGCCCGCCCCGGGTCAGCCCCGGCCCATGCCCCGGGTCAGCCCCGGCCCATGCCCCTGGCCAGCCCCGGCCCGCCCCTGGCCAGCCCCGGCCCGCCCCGGGTCAGCCCCGGCCCGCCCCGGGCCCGCCCCGGCCCGCCCCGGGCCCGCCCCGGGCCCGCCCCGGGCCCTCCCCGGGCCCTCCCCGGGCCCTCCCCGGGCCCGCCCCGGGCCCGCCCCGGGCCCGCCCCGGGCCCGCCCCGGCCCGCCCCGGGTCAGCCCCGGCCCATGCCCCGGGTCAGCCCCGGCCCATGCCCCTGGCCAGCCCCGGCCCGCCCCTGGGCCAGCCCCGGCAGCCCCCGGGTCCAGCCCCGGCCCGCCCCCCGGGTCAGCCCCGGCCCCCGCCCCCCGGGTCAGCCCGGCCCGCCCCCGGGTCAGCCCCGGCCCGCCCCCCGGCTCAGCCCGGCCGCCCCCCGGGTCAGCCCCGCCCGCCCCCCGGGTCAGCCCCGGCCCGCCCCCCGGGTCAGCCCCGGCCCCGCCCCCGGGTCAGCCCGGCCCGCCCCCCGGGTCAGCCCCGGCCCGCCCCCCGGGTCATCCCCGGACACGCCCCCCAGGGGTCAGCCCCGGCCCGCCCCCGGGTCAGCCCCCGGGCCCGCCCCCCGGGTCAGCCCCGGCCCGCCCCCCGGGTCAGCCCCGGCCCGCCCCCCGTGGTCAGCCCCGGCCCGCCCCCCGGGTCAGCCCCGGCCCGCCCCCGGGTCAGCCCCGGCCCGCCCCCCGGGTCAGCCCCGGCCCGCCCCCCGGGTCAGCCCCCGGCCCGCACCCCCGGGTCAGCCCGGCCCCCCCCGGTCAGCCCCGCCCCCCCCGGGTCAGCCCCGGCCCGCCCCCCGGGTCAGCCCCGGCCCGCCCCCCCGGGTCAGCCCCGGCCCGCCCCCCGGGTCAGCCCCGGCCCGCCCCCCGGGTCAGCCCCGGCCCGCCCCCCGGGTCAGCCCCGGCCCGCCCCCCGGGTCAGCCCCAGGCCCGCCCCCCGGGTCAGCCCCGGCCCGCCCCCGGGTCAGCCCCGTCCCGCCCCCCGGGTCAGCCCCGGCCCGCCCGCCCGGGGTCAGCACCCGGCCCCGCCCCACCGGGTCAGCCCCGGCCCGCCCCCCGGGTCAGCCCCGGCCCGCCCCCACGGGTCAGCCCGGCCCGCCCCCCCGGGTCAGCCCCGGCCCGCCCCCCGGGTCAGCCCCGGCCCGCCCCCCGGGTCAGCCCCGCCCGCCCCCCCGGGTCAGCCCCGGCCCGACCCCCGGGTCAGCCCCGGCCCCCCCCGGGGTCAGCCCCGGCCCGCCCCCCGGGTCAGCCCCGGCCGCCCCCGGGTCAGCCCCGGCCCGCCCCCGGGTCAGCCCCGGCCCGCCCCCGGGTCAGCCCCGGCCCGCCACCCGGGTCAGCCCCGGCCCGCCCCGGGTCAGCCCCGGCCCGCCCCCCGGTCAGCCCCGGCCCGCCCCCGGGTCAGCCCCGGCCCGCCGCCGGGTCAGCCCCCGGCCCGCCCGGGTCAGCCCCGGCCCGCCCCGGGTCAGCCCCGGCCCGCCCCCGGGTCAGCCCCGGCCCGCCCCGGGTCAGCCCCGGCCCGCCCCGGGTCAGCCCCGGCCCGCCCCGGTCAGCCCCGGCCCGCCCCGGGTCAGCCCCGGGCCCGCCCCCCCGGGTCATGCCCCGGCCGCCCCCGGGTCAGCCCCGGCCCGCCCCCGGGTCAGCCCCGGGCCCGCCCCCCGGGTCAGCCCCGGCCCCGCCCCCGGGTCAGCCCGGCTCAGGACCCGGCACGCCCCGGAATCAGCCCCGGCACCCGCCCCCGGGTGCAGCCACCGGCCCGCCCCCGGGTCAGCCCCGGACCCGCCCCCGGGTCAGCCCCGGCCCGCCCCCCGGGTCAGCCCCGGCCCGCCCCCGGGTCAGCCCCGGCCCGCCCCCGGGTCAGCCCGGC